CAACAACAACTACAGCTCCAACAGCAACAACAACAACAGCAGCAACAGACACCACAGGTTCAGGACCCACAAGCCCAGACACTAGTATTGCAGGCCCAGCAGCAAGCCCAGCAGACACAACGGCTAGCCCAGTTGGCCCAACAACAGGCGCAACAAGCACAAAGAGTGCCACAACAACAGACAGCAGCAACGCGACGCAAGTTCAACCTCGATGATTTTCGCATCCACCGTACGCTCGGCACCGGATCTTTTGGTCGCGTTCACCTGGTCCAGTCCCGGTTTAACTCTCGATTCTACGCAATGAAGGTCCTCAAGAAGACCGAGGTTGTCCGTCTCAAGCAGGTCGAGCACACCAACAACGAAAAAATGATCCTGGAGCGAGTCGAACACCCGTTCTTGATCAACATGTGGGGCACTTTTCAGGATGTCCGGAACCTCTATATGGTCATGGATTATGTCGTTGGAGGCGAGTTGTTCTCGGTTCTCCGGAAGAGCCAGGTAACTTGCAGCAGCATAACACACCTTTTTCTTCCATTCAGTCACACTCTCTCTGTTTCTCTTTTCTCGTTTTGATTTGGGTGTCGATTTTGGATTTTGGTTTTTGGGACATGTGCATGGCTGGTGTGCAAATTGTGGAGAGTGAGTGTGAGGTGACATTTGATAACAAAAAATGAACCAGACGACCTCTCAGCACACAAGGAAAGGCGTGCAGGCAATTGCGAGAGAGAGAAAGATAAAACAGAAAAAAAACGAGGGGTGTCTTAGCAAGATTGAAGGAGGATGGGGTGGAACAAAAGGAGATGTAGCATACATTAGAGTGCAAGCGGGACATAGCAAGAGGCGAGGCGGTGTGAGAGCAAAAGTTCAGTGGTGAGAATGTGCGAGAAAGTGTGGGTGAGTGGGGAGAGCTGGATCCAGTTAATACCGAGGTGCATATGTTGCTTCTCTTGTGTCAAGTGTTTTGTGTGCAGTAGTAGTTTGCTTTTTCGTCAGTTCCTGTTTTCTTTTTTTTCTGACTGCTCTCGTATACAGACAGCCATACGAAAAAGGACATCCAGGCATTAACATCGTGACGAAATGTGCGACAGGTGGGCTAGGCTTGTTTGTGCAAGGATGTGCAGTGCGGGTTGACCAATCATGGTTACAATGGGTGTGAATTGAGTGAGCGATCTGGACCTTTTTCCCTCGGACAGCAGAAAGAAGAGACCACACGAAACAACCAGTTTGGAGGGTATTACGTTGCCAAAAAGGCTAAGCGGCGAGTGAACGAGCAGAACAGAGAGTGTGCGCAAATAGCAAGAGAAAGGGGAAGAGTTGCTGTTGCTGTTCACGGTCGCATGAATTCGACTCTCTTGTTCGTCTCCATTTCCCCGATTGTTATTTTTAAAACCCCCTGTATGAAATAGGGCGGGGTTGTATTCGAGCACGAGCATCTTCTGCTGTCCCATCTCCCCTCCTCCCTCCAACAATAACGACCTGCAAAGGTCAAGAGGGCGAAAAAAAGGAGTATATTAACAGCGCGAAACGGGCTGATGACCAACAATGATAACAAGACTGAACACGCACAAAAAATCGATCGAGGATGGTGCGTTTGCGCGCGTGGGTGCGTGTATGTTGCACCCTTTGTTTCCCTTTCTTTTCTTACCGCGAAATCCGCCGCGCAAAATGGGTGGACGTGTCAAAGCGGGAGCAAGGAGAGGACGAAGAAGAGCCATCACAACTTCAGCAACACGAAAACACAATACGCGAGATGGTCACATTAATGCGACAAACGACTTTGTTGGTCGCGGTTCGGTCGCTGAAGAAGAGTGCGTGTGTAAGAAGGCGCGATGGCGAGAGAGCTAATGCACTATATTCCAAGTGACTGTCCAGAACGATGAATGGGTGGCGCGGTTGTTGTTCGCGGCGTCTTTCCTTTGCTCTGGATATATTGCACAAGTAGTGTACAAGAGGCGCCAAGTTCACTCTCTCTTCAGAGTGGTGGAGGCCATTACTTTTCTCTCCTTTCATGCATTTGGGCGAAAGAGGACTCTGATTGGTTTTTTACAGCTGGAGTGAATTGAGTGTGTTTCTAACTGTCTTTTGGCTTTTAATGTCAGTCGAACGTCACGAACGGAACGCGGAAAAAGAGAAGGACAAACAACCAATGCGGTGTTCGATGAAATGTATATATTTTGGGCGCTCAAAGTATTGAAAAGGCATTGCTCAGTTGTTTCCGCCTCTGTCCTTTATTGTTACCGTGCATGCCTTGCTTTCTCCCAGTTCCAGTTCCCATCTCATCTTCCCATGTATTTACCCAGTTCGTTTCCCCTTCCCCTTTCCTCTCTTTTCTCTTGGAGGACCCCGACCTGGACCGCCACTCTCTCAAACACTCCCCTTTTTGATCTTCATGTCATACTCACGCGCTTAGCATTGTTTACTTCCCATTATTGTTACTAGAGATTCCCAGAGCATGTAGCACGGTTTTACACCTGCGAAGTTTTGTTGGCGCTGGAATATCTTCATTCGCATGCAGTGATCTACCGAGATCTCAAACCAGAGAACCTGCTGCTGGATTCGATGGGCCATATCAAGATTATAGATTTTGGATTTGCAAAGCATGTACCCCAGAACATGACATGGACGTTGTGCGGGACACCGGATTACCTTGCACCAGAGATCATTCAGTCGAAGGGATACGGAAAGGCAGTGGACTGGTGGTCGATGGGCGTGCTGATGTTTGAGATGTGTGCAGGCTTCCCACCGTTCTTTGACGAGGACCACATCAAGCTGTACGGGAAGATCATGGCAGGGAAAGTGCGGTACCCACCTCATTTTCAGCCTGCGCTCAAGGATCTACTGAAGCGACTGTTGACCGCGGATCTGACGAAGCGGTACGGAAACCTGAGGGGAGGCGCGACGGATATTAAGAACCATGCATGGTTTGAGGGTGTGAACTGGGACCAGGTCTACTCGAGACAGATCGAGGCACCGTACAAGCCGACGATCATGGGAGAGGGCGACGCCAGCAACTTTGACGATTATCCCGAGGACGCAGAGCAATGTGGTGTCTATCCTATTGGCGAACAGGACGAGCTCGGATCCTTCTTCCCCGGCTTCTAGATCTTCTTTGTCTAACTAGTGCAGTTTACGCTTTTTTTTTGTTATGCCACATATAACAACAAAAAACAACTATACTGTTTGTGTCTGGAGGAGCTGTGCTGAAGATAGGCGAGGGACATTTTGGTTAAGGTGATGATGACAATGGGGCAAATTTTATGTTGGTGGCGTTTCAATGTTGCTGCTCATGGTCATGGGCTAGTATTCCGAACTTGTCGTCCTTGATATCAGGATCAATGTGGTTGGTCTCGTCCTGGGCCTGCTAGACAGTCGTCGCTGCAGCGAGAGAGGTGATAGACTCGACAGAGGCATCGACCGAGGGTACTGCCTCGGCAACAGGCTCGGCAGGAACAATCCAAGAGTCATGGTGTTTGAGTTCTTCGTCGGTGAGGACGATATCAAAGTATTCCTTGAGGGCATCAAGACGATCCTGCTCCCTAAAGAAATCGATCTGTTTGACCAGACCCTTCGCGTTCTTAATCATGAGTTTCTTGTCGACCAGGAGATAATAGTCGCCTTCGGGGGTGGAGCGGATACACCAAAAGGCCTTGAAGAATGTGGATGTGGGGGAATAACATGTATAAAAATTGGCGACCTGACAGTCGTTCTCGTAGAACTGTTGCTCGGAGAAGGCATACCAGGGGATCCATTTGTCGTCGGCGGGGAGGAATTCTTCGATACACCACATCACAAATGGCGGGTGACCGAGGATATCGGGCTGGGCCTGGATATGTGTTCGTGTGGACATGCGACGGATGTGGCCTCCGAATTCGATGGTTGCCCCTTCCTTGAGCTGGATGGGCAGTTGGACCGAGTTTCCGAATCCAATATCGAAGAGGTACTTTGTGTCGGATCCTGTGGCCTCATCGAGGAAACGAACGATGCTGACACGATGGGTCTTTGCAGTGAAGCGAGGAGGGTCGGTTGGTTTGGGGGGTTTGCAGACACGACCGATAGTGAACTGGGTCCTGAATCCGAGGCCGAGCAAAAGTTCGTATCCGAGTCGGTTGAGGGAGAAGCACCATCCGCCACGCTTCTGGACAACTACACGGTCATAGATGCCCTCAAGGGAGATATCGACGCCGCGGGAGGCAGTGGTGCGGAGGGCGAGAGTCTCGAAGGGAATGGTGATGACGAGGCGGGTGTGGAGTTCTTGCAGAGTGGCCAGGGTTGGTTCTGGCAAGGTGTTGGGAGGGAGGTGTGAGAGGGGAAAGGCGATCCGGTTGAGGATGCCGAATATCTGCTCCCGGGTGAAGTGTTCCTGTAGGGGAGTCGATTCAATTGACATCTTTGTTTTTGTGGGGCGCTGAGGGGGTGGTTGGTTGTGAAAGTGGAAGTTGGATGGAATGAGGAAACAAGTACCGAGATGGAGTAAGAGGTATTTATGGGAAAAATACAAAGGAGAGAAAAGACGGTTCCTGGGAAAGAGAGAACGAGTTTTTGGTTTCCCGCAGCAAAGATACCCTGGCGTGAACTCTAAAACACATACGCCATCTTGCCATGGGTCATCAAGCGAGTCAAAGATGATGGCTGATGGGAGTAAAAATCAGCTGTGAGTGAGTCAAGGAGTTCAGAGTGCCTTTGCTTGTGCTCTATTTGTTTGCTGGTCTGCGCAGTTACGCGGCGCGTCCTCTGATTTCTGTAATTCGGTTGACCTTTTGACTACTCCTTTTCGCCGTTTGACCAACCCCCGCTTTAACTCGTTTGTCTTTCTTTTCTTTTCTCGATCCTTTCGTGCCGTTGCAAAGTCGACGATGGTTATAGTAGTAGATTGTTTTCTCAGGGTAACGCTAGTAGACAGGTAGAAGAGAAGCGAAAATCGCAACTTTGGAAGCCATCCTCCATCCAAGACGATAGTTCCTTCGTGTATGTTATCGATAAGTTGGGCAACGAGGGTACACCAAGAGCGACATGGGAATACCACAGCCCTGGTTGACAACTGTGTTCAGCAGCTTTACCGCGGGTGTATGAAATGAGTACATTGTATGCGCCACCAATCTTTGGATGATATGCGGATGCACATCTCTGGTTAGTGAATCGAAGGCTGAAGGCTGAAGCAAGCAATGAACAATTTTTATTTTTATCGTTCCAGAGGGTCGGCTGTGCAGAATGAAGGATGTTCGAGTCTGATCTCGATTCTTTGCTTCCTTCACGCTTTCAATTCAGTGTTCTAAGAGGGCAGAAAAAACAAGAGGAACCCAGGCATCATGGGGGAGGAGTGGGAGGGTGTATATAAGAGAAAGGTAGCCAGGACGGGAACCGGTTATAAAAACGATGTTTTATGTAAGTGCATGTATGCCTATGGGAGAGAATGGATATTCGTTCGGAACGAGAAGGAAATGCAAAAAAAGATTTGAGAGGTGAAAATGACGAACAGCCGAGGAAAGTGTCGGTCGAGAAGTCGCTTCCTTAGTGTGGAAAATAAAAAAATAGACGAAAATAGCGCTCTTCTTTCTCTTCCTACTCCTCTTCTTCCTCTTCTTCCTTTTCTTCCTCTTCCTCATCCTCATCCTCTTCCTCTTCTCCAACCTTCACTCGCCATTTTTTGTTATTCCATTTACTCGCCAGCCACACTCTCTTAAGCAGACAGCAAACAGCATACAAGCAACGTTGTTATTCGCAGGAACAACTCCAGGACAACAGTATACATACGCACCCATTCAAACCAGCAACACTCCAGCCAACCAGCCATGCATCGCTTTTTGAATGCCGCCGTCCGCAATAATGCACCAACAAACATGAACAAACCCCTGCCAGAACCACTCGTCGACCCAGACGAAGGCAAGATTCCCATTGGTAAGAAAGATATCCTTTTTTTCTTTTTCTTTTTCTTAAATCATTCCTCCTTCCCGGAGATGGAGGTAATGGTTCATCAACACACAAACACACCATACGAGTCGGGAGGAATGAGCGACGAGATGAAAGTCTGTTCTCACGCCATTGTTTCTACTTCCTCGTCCTCGTCCTTGCCCATCCTTCATCACCGCACAAAATGATATGCACATCATTGCATATGACCTCTCACTTGCACACCCTCCTTAGCAACTCCGCTAACTTGTTTCCTTCCTTCCTTCCTTTCGATTTATTTGTTCGCCAACCAGGTGAACTCGTGATTATCCCTATTCAAGGTCGAGACCTCCCTAACCGCGAGCGATTCGGAAAACAGGACCCATTTATCCTTTTCAAACTCGGAAACGTCGCCAAGAGGAGCACCACAGATGTCCGCGGAGGACAGCGACCCCGCTGGAAGGACGATCAGGTATGGAGAATGAATACTTGATGAGAATAGGATGGATGTGGGGAGGGTGAGGAATCGACCACAGGACGAAAGAAACTTCACAAAGAAAACGACAACAAATAGTGAAAGATGACTATGAAGGCTATAGTGAGCGACCACATGGCAAAAAGAAGTATGAGAAAGAATACGACAACACTTGGCAAAAGACGACTATGGGAACGGTGGCGAACGACAATGGACGACAGAGAACGAGGCGATGCTGAACAAGGTTAGGAAATCGGTGTGGAAAAAAGAAAAGAAAAAAACGACTCTTGCGGGTTCAGTTGATGAGCGTTCTGACCCTCGCCTCTGCCTGTCTGTCCACTTCTCAATGACTGATCAGGAAAGATGGGCGCATGGAAGAAGAGAGCTGACCAGGAGGGATAGCAACCAGACAAAGAGGATACAAACATCATCGCCATCTTCCTCGCAGTGTGCATAAGATATGAGAGAAAAAGGAGCGGACCATCGAATGAGGACCATGCGAGAACAGGGCAGAGAAAAGAGTCATCTTCCGTGGCCGTGTAGTTTTGACTCGGTCATATGGACACACAGGACGACGAAATCTCCTTAGTCTGTTATGCCTCGTGCATGCGGACGGGCGGTGTTGGTACAGAGAAGTAAAACGGGCTGTGGAGTATCGAAGCTGACTTGTTGACACCTTGGATACATAGATCAACATCTTCATGTACGAGAGCGATGCAAAGGACGCCACATCGCTCTATGTCACTTGTCTGGACGAGGATCCCCAGAAGAACGACCTGATCGGAGACTGTGTCATCAACATGGTCAGAGTCATGGAGTATGGAGAGCAAGATGGTATGTTTTATAGACCACGTTTATATTATTTACCAGTTATTCAACATCTGAAGGACATGACAGATTCTCACACCGTTTTTTATTACTTGCAATCCCATTTCCAACACAACATAGATTGGTTCCAGCTTTCGTACAAGGGAAGGGAAGCAGGAGAACTGTTGCTGCAGTTGACATACTATTCCCACGTATGTAGCAAACCCTCACTGCCCATTCTTTTTTCTCCCTCTCTAACCTCTCTCACCTGTCCCGCCACTCCCTCGAGCAGATTTTCCCGTCGCATGATTCGCCATTGAACTCATCCTTACAATCATACTCTTGCATGAATTATAGGACCCCAAACACCCAACACACAAGTCGAACAGGACAAACACAGCTCCTACGACTGGCGTGGGTGCACGCCGCCCTATTCATCTTGTCAAGGAAACCAAGAAGCAAGAGGAAAAGCCAGAGGAGCGCGATAGCGACATCGATGATGGTCCAGTTTACCAGCCCCCAGTTGTCCCAGAGCCAGCAACCCCTCAGGTTCCAATGGTGGCCCCTGTAACTGGATATCCTTATAATACCCTTGCTCCTGGCGCCGCACGCCCCATTTCGCCTTCAGGAGGACCGCATTATGCCGGCCACCACACGCCACAGATTCCTCCAGCCGCAACCCCTTATGGACAGCCTGCTGCTTCCCTCAACCCTTACGGTGCTGCGACCGCCTATCCCGGTTACCCCGCGGCCAGCGTACCCTATGTCGACCCCAGTATTGCTGCCGACCCCAACAAACGCCATTCATTCCCAGGACAACCTCCTCTTGTTGGCGGATTCCCACCTACAGGTTATCCTGCTGTTGGAGGCGCTGTAGGACCCGGATCTGTTTACCCTCCTCAGGGCGTCGTTCCTGGAGTTGGCGCTGGGCCAGGAGGGTTCCCTGGTGCCAACGCTGGATTCCCTGGTGCCAACGCTGGATTCCCTGGTGCTAACGCTGGATTCCCACCTCAGAGCAACGTGTACCCACCCGGACCTGGTGCTTCTCCCTATGCGCCCGCACAGTCTCTGCCAATCACTCAGAACATGGGTGGTACTGGCCCTGGACTTAATGGTCCCCCTGGCGGATACCCCTTTGGACCTGGCGGATACCCACCCAACTCTAACAACAGCAGCAACAGCGGTGTATTTAACAGCAACAATGGCGGCAACTTCAACAGCAATAATAACAGCGGTTTTAGCAACAACAGCAACAACAGTGGATTCAACAATACCACTGGCGGTAACAATTTCAACAGCAATAATGGAGGAAACTTCAACAACAACAATGGAGGGAACTTTAGCAATGGTGGGTTCAACAACCGCCCCAACAACAACAACTTTAACAGTAACAATGGCGGAAACAGTTTCAACAACAGCACCGGAGGAAACAGCTTTAACAACAGCAATAATGGAAGCAACTTCAATAACAACAATAACGGAGGAAACTTCAACAACAGCAACAACGGTGGAAACTTCAATAGCAATAGCAGCAACAACTTCAACAACAACAACAACAACAGCAGCTTTAACAACAATGGAGGCAACAACTTTAACAACAACAACGGAGGCAACAACTTTAACAACGGCGGCAACAATACCAACAATAACAATAACAACAACAACAGGAAAAACACGATCCAGCCAACGCCGATTCCAATTGTCAACTCGCCCATTCCAGCGGCACCAAGGCCTCCTGGTGGGAGCATGTATGGACCTGGAGGACTGTAAATACATCAATGTCCGGTAGTGGCATCATGTTACATCTCATTGCACTCTTAAGCATCTCCTCGTCTTCTTTTTTCGTAATAAAAACTTACAAGAAGCATCGAAAAAATAATATGCATAAAGGTGTGGGTGAAGATGAATGTGTCCAGAAAGCGATTCAAGTGACCAGAAATTATATGAGAGCAAGTCCTAGAGCAAACGAAGTGGCGAGAGGGAGCCAGGGCGTAGGAAAGACACAGGTAGATAGTTGTTAGAGAGGACCGTTTGTCAATTGAAGACCGTTGTTGTTACAGGAACAGAAGCAAGAGGGCCAATTGACCTTTAGATAGAGCAGGGATGCCATGCAGGTCGTTTGAAATTGCGCATGAGCAACGGGTAAGAGGTGTCGATTGACAACTGTGGAGATGTCTAGGGATTTAAAAACGTGCGAAAGAAAGGCTAGACCTTCTTTCCTCTGTCGCCTCGATCCTGCCCCCTCTGCTGCGATTGCCGAGTGACAGGTCGATGAATCATCCTCGCTCACCACCTTTTTTTTTTGTTTTGAATACAACAACAACAACAACCAAGGGACCGGAGTTGAATGCAGATCCAAGCCACATCTTCTTATCGACGGACGGAGAAAGAACAAGCACAGTAAGAAAAGGTTCCCCGCAAAAGAGGGCTTTCCTTTTCGGGACCTGGGGGTCGGTGCCTCAAATGATATTGAAAAAAAAAAGCTTTTTCTCATACTCTTGAAAAAAAGAACACCAGTCGCCTTGTCTGCTGCTGTTCAATTGTTCTCTCCCATGAAGAATGATCTGATGTCGAGAGTCTTGGATAAGAAAAATGGTGTTTTGAAGACAAAAGTAATCTGGGGTAAGAAGAAGGAAGGAAGGAGAAGGGAAGACGACGATGGATCGCACAGCATTGATTCGGTCTGATCTATGGTGGTAAGGATGACTTACAAGGGCAGAAGGATGGAGAGGAGGCGATTGAAAGGGTAGTAGAGACTTGTGCGGTGTGTGGTTGGTTGCGTTTTTCAGCAACAATGATTGATTTGGTCCATGGGAAAAAAAAGAAAAAAGAAAGACTCGCGTTCGTGTGCGCCTTCTGCTTTGATTTGATGAGAATAAATAGACGGCCTCGTTTCTCTTTTTTCCTTTTTGCATCTTTTCTTTTCTTTTCTCATTACCCCTTCACTCTCCCCCTCATTCCACTTCCTCTCTGCATTCCTCATCCTCGCTCATACTCTTTTCCTATCACTACTTCTCTATTTCTTTATTCTCTCTTTCTCTCTCTCTCTACGTGTGTACCCATATCTCTCTTGTACTTTTTACTCTACCTTTTTGTTCATATATAAACATCACATCATGCTGGTACTCCCAGGATCAGAATCCCTCTCACCCTTCAAGGCACACGCCCTCCTCCAGCAGGTCCAGGCTGCCGTCCCATCCGTCCAGTCCGTCTCCACCCGCGCCGTCCATTTTGTACAGCCTCTCCCCGGTCTTGACCAGACTACCCTCAACGAGTTCTTGACCAACGATGCCACCCCCGAGAGAATCATCCTCAACACCATGTTCTCCTCCCCTTCCTCCGCTCGCGCCCAGGTAATTGATTATAGCCGCGGGTGTAAAAGGTTGCAATGGAAGTACCCTTTCTTGTGAATACTACAAAGACGCAGAGTGACATCGCGAAAAGGTTGGGGAAAAAAATATTGCGCGACAGACATTGTACAGTACAATGCGAACACAGAAACTGACTGATCTATCCCCCCCTTTTTTTTTCTTGACATCGAACAATAACAACAAAACAGGATGACCAAGAGTTGGTTCAATTGATCTCACAACCCTACAGCGACTCAGCGTCGACTGTAGAAGGACGCAATTTTTTCATTGTTCTGCCTCGCGTCGGCACCATCTCCCCGTGGTCGTCCAAGGCTACCAATATCGCCCAGATGTGCAATCTGGACCGTCATGTCAAGCGGGCCGAGCGCGGTCAAGCTTACTTGGTTCGGACAAACGACGGAAAACAGTTGAGCGAGCATGAGTTCAGGACCATTACAGCCCTTGTTCACGATCGCATGACTCAGGACGTCCTTGGCGTTATCCCCGATGAGAAGGTCATCTTCAAGGTAAATTTGCGAGCTCATTCTCATGTTGAGAAGGTGGAGACGCGCAACAAGACCAGGATCAGGATACAAAGGACAGAAGGCATGGGCCTTCGGCACACATGTTGGATTTCTTAATCGTTGGATGTTTTTCTATTCCCGTACGCCTATTCCCGTACGCCTATTCCCCACTGCCAGAGTGTCTCAGGCGATGACTGTGGTCTTTTCCTTGTTTATCCTCAGCCAGCCTTCTCTCCATTAATGTTGACTCGGGGGACGATTTTTTTCCTTCAGGCGGATCAAATCGAAAGAAAAAAAATAACAGTCACTGGCGCCATGAAATACTAATTCAATCGCCCGCCTTTTGTTCATCACTTCAATGGTGCCTGTACGTTCACAATCATCAATAGCAAGGAACTCCCGCCCCATTGACCACCGTCCAGCTCATGGAGGCCGGTGGCGAGCGCAACCCCCGCGATGCCCGTGAGCGCCTCGTCTCCGCCAACAAGGAGCTCGGCCTCGCCCTGGCCGAAGACGAGATCGACTACCTCGTCGCTGCCTTCATCGGAAGCAGCAAGCTGAGCTCCGACAGCTGTCTCGCAAGAAACCCTACCGACGTCGAGCTCTTCATGTTCGCCCAGGTCAACTCGGAGCACTGCCGTCACAAGATCTTTGGCGCCGACTGGACGATTGACGGCGAAAAGAAGCCCCACTCGCTCTTTGGCATGATCAAGAACACCCACCAGCTCCATCCCCAGCACACCCTCTCCGCCTACTCTGACAACGCCGCTGTCCTTCAGGGTCCCAAAGGCACCCGCTTTGCCCCCATTGCCGACGACAACTACGCCTACACCTTGTTTGAGGAGGAGGTTCACACCGTCGTCAAGGTCGAGACCCACAACCACCCTACTGCCGTCTCACCCTTCCCTGGAGCTGCTACTGGATCAGGAGGAGAGATTCGTGATGAGGGAGCCACCGGTATCGGTTCCAAGCCCAAAGCCGGTTTGAGTGGTTTCACCGTCTCCAACTTGTTGATCCCTGGACACGTTCAACCCTGGGAGACCGACTATGGAAAGCCCTCGCACGTTGCCTCGGCTTTGGACATCATGGTCCAGGGACCTCTCGGAGGTGCTGCCTTCAACAACGAGTTTGGTCGTCCTGCCATCACTGGTTACTTCCGTACTTTCCTCGAGTCCGTTCCCACCGCCAACGGCAAGGATGAGATCCGTGGTTTCCACAAGCCTATTATGATTGCTGGAGGGTTGGGAACAATTCGTCCCAAGCATGTCCTCAAAAACAAGATCCAGCCCGGTGCTCATTTGGTCGTCCTCGGTGGCCCCTGCATGTTGATCGGTCTCGGTGGTGGTGCTGCCAGTTCCATGACTTCGGGAGAGTCCTCAGCCGCGTTGGATTTCGCCTCTGTTCAGCGAGAGAACCCCGAGATGCAGCGTCGCTGCCAGCAGGTCATTGATTCCTGCACGGCCTTGGGTGACAAGAACCTCATCCAGTCGATTCACGATGTCGGTGCTGGAGGACTTTGCAATGCCCTTCCCGAGATTGTTCACGATTGCGACCTCGGTGCCGTGATTGAGCTTCGCAATATCAACAACGACGACCCCAGTATGTCCCCCATGGAGATTTGGTGCAATGAGTCTCAGGAGCGTTACGTTCTTGCTATCGGACCCGAGAACATTGAGGCCTTCAAGGCCATCTGCGAGCGTGAGCGCTGCCCCTATGCCTTAGCCGGTGTCGCCACGACTGAGGAGAAGCTGGTTTTGACCGACAGCCTTTTGGGAACAACCCCCATTGATCTGCCTATGTCGACCCTGTTTGGCAAGCCCCCCAAGATGTCCCGTACCACGGCCACCGTCGTCCCCACTCGCCACGCCTTTGACAGCAGCTTGAAGTCTTACCTCCCCTCGTTGACCCAATCTGCCGAATTGGTCACCGATGCTGCTCACCGCGTCCTCCGTCTCCCCGCTGTTGCCTCCAAGTCCTTCTTGATCACCATTGGTGACCGTACCATTACCGGATTGGTTGCCCGTGACCAGTTTGTTGGACCTTGGCAGGTCCCCGTCGCCGATGTTGCCGTCACTGCTACCTCGCTCGGCGTCTCAGTTGGAGAGGCCATGGCCATGGGTGAGCGTCCCCCTATCGCCTTGATCTCGGCAGCTGCCTCCGCCCGCATGGCCGTCGGTGAGTGCATCACCAACATGGCTGCTGCCAACATCCCCTCGTTAGGTCAGATCCGCATGTCTGCCAACTGGATGGCCGCTCCTGACCACGAAGGTGAGGGCTCCCGCTTGTACGAGGCTGTCCAGGCTATCGGCTTGGATCTCTGTCCTGCTTTGGGTATCAGCATCCCTGTCGGCAAGGATTCGATGTCGATGAAGATGAAGTGGAAGCAGGACGGCGAGCAGGTTGAGGTCACTGCGCCTTTGTCGCTCAACATTACTGGATTCGGACCCGTCACTGATATTCACAAGACTCTCACTCCTGAGTTGATTACCGATGCTGGCGAGACTGTCCTGGTATTGATTGACTTGGCTGATGGAAAGGAGCGCCTCGGAGGCTCGGCCATTGCTCAGGTCTACAAGCAGATCGGTAACGAAGTTCCCGATGTCGAGAGCGCCGAAGTCCTCAAGTCGTTCTTCAAGGGTATCCAGGCTGTCCGTGATCATGATGATCTTGTCCTTGCCTACCACGATCGCTCGGATGGTGGTCTCTTTGCCACTGTTGCCGAGATGTGCTTTGCTGGTCACGTCGGTGCCAAGGTCGATCTTTCGAGCATCACTGAGGACGCTGTCGCTGGTTTGTTTAACGAGGAGTTGGGAGCTGTTGTCCAGGTCCGCTCTGCTCAGCTCGACCAGTTCAAGGCTGTTTTTGCTCAGCAAGGATTCCCTGTCGAGTCTCTCAAGGTTGTCGGTTCCGTCAACGCTAAGGGTGATGATTCGATTGTTATCTCGCACAAGGGAACCAACGTCCTCGAGTCGAACCGTGTCGAGTTGCAGCGCATCTGGACCGAGACCTCTTACCATATCCAGACCATCCGTGACAACTCGGAGTGCGCCCAGCAGGAGTTTGATGGATTGTTGGATGCCCAGGATCCTGGTTTGTCGTACCAGTTGACCTTCAACCCTGCCGAGGAAGTCTTATTGGCTGCTGATTTGGCTCTTGCTCAGGCTGACCGCCCAAAGGTGGCCATTTTGCGCGAGCAGGGTGTCAACGGTCAGATCGAGATGGCCTATGCCTTTCACGCCGCAGGATTCACTGCTGTGGATGTTCACATGTCGGATATCTTGTCTGGCAAGGTGACTCTCAAGGACTTTAAGGGTATTGCTGCCTGCGGTGGATTCTCGTACGGTGATGTCCTCGGAGCTGGTTCTGGTTGGGCAAAGTCGATCTTGTTGCACGAGCGTACCCGCAACGAGTTCTACGATTTCTTGACCGTCCGTCAGGATACGTTTGCCCTGGGAGTCTGCAACGGATGCCAGTTCTTGTCGCAGATGCGCGAGTTGATCCCTGGAGCTGAGCACTGGCCCTACTTCAAGCGCAACCAGAGCGAGCAGTTCGAGGCTCGCTTCAGCATGGTCGGATTAGAGAACAATACTGCCGCTGCTGAGGCCTCGTCGACTGTTCCTTCGATCTTCTTTGACGGTATGCGCGGATCCAAGTTCCCTATTGCTGTTGCCCACGGAGAGGGTCGTGCCGAGTTTGTCAAGCCTTCGGATCTGGAGGCTCTTCAGGCTCAGGGCTTGATTGCCGCTTCGTATGTCGATAACTACGGCAAGAGAACCGAGCAGTACCCATTGAACCCCAACGGGTCGCCCCTCGGTATTACTGCTGTCCAGACGCCCAACGGTCGTGTCCTTGCTATGATGCCTCACCCTGAGCGTGTGTCTAGCCGGGAGGCTAACTCTTGGTACCCCCGTGCGGAGGGTGCTCAGTGGGGTGAGCAGGGCCCTTGGTTGAGAATGTTCAAGAACGCCCGCACTTGGGTCAGCCGCCAGTAAATTAACTTTTCTTCTCTTTGTTATTCCCCTATTTGCATCTTTTCAATGAATAAATCGTCGTTTTTGTTATTTTCCTTGCATTCATGCTTGTCTTCGTCTGTCTCACAGATCTTTCTTGTATCGTAAACATTTTTCAACGACTCGCACTACATGAAGAAGACAATGTTTTTTTTTTTTTTGGATTTGTATTGAATAAAGGGAAAAAGAAGGGAGTAAACCGCTCAGAATGTGCGACCGCCCTCATCATAGCCGCCTTGAAGGGCGACTAGACAAGATCATCAATAAGCAGGCACCCGACTCTTCAAAAGAAGAGTAAACAGGTGTGCTTCGCTTCCCTTTACGGGCAGCGCACTTCAACTCATCGTCGAGGGTAAACCGTGTGTCTATGTTGGGAAACAAAGACTGGAAATGTACTAGACAGAAATCCTGTAAGTACAGTCGATAGAGAACAAAACTATTCGCGGTTGATGATTTCTTTTATAGTCTGGGAAGTGTGGTTGTGGTGCAAAAAGATGAGAGTGATTGAAGTTGATATCCATGGGTAGGTATTTTGCCGCTGAAAGAGACTCCAGCTGTCGTTAAAAAAGATAAATGTGACTATCAATCTAGTAATGGTCTAACAACAGCGAAGAAGCAAACTGTACAATGATATTCAAGAGCCGATTTCTGGCCCCGCCCAACAAATACATCTGTATCGAGACTATTCATCAATTCAGCATCACCCGTGCGCCTTTCACCCTGTGTTTCATTCACCCATCTTGCATAATACACCTGTATCCGTTGATCTCTCTTCAATTACACCTGCACACTTGAAAAAAGAAGACTTGCTATAGCCTATGCTCAAGACGGGCCCATCAATGATCACCGCCAAGACGAAGCTCTGTCGGAAGATACCACCGATCACGCAAGTGCCTCTCTTCACCTTTCTCATTTCTCCCTTCGCCTCCTCACTTCTCCACTTTTCTTCCTGGCCACTTTCTTCGCCAACATAAAATACGCACTCAGATCCACACTCGACAACAAACAGTGCCTTTGACTGGTGTTCACCTCGAACCCATACAAGTCAGATCACCAGAATTCCTTACACACCAACAAGCCATCGCACCCGACAACCTGGGAAAGTTGTACCGCATCCACTACACCGGCACTGAGCAGCACCAACTGGAGTCGAAAGCCTGAAGTGAGGCTGTCTACTACCACGGGACAGGGCATTGCGACTTTTTTTGCTCGAACGGGTTCAGGAGGTTGATGAACTTGTCCAAGAGCATGAGAGTGACCGCTTATGACGGTGGGGATCAAGATATGAAGATGGGGGATGGAGATGTACGATTCTAGACTCGAAACCGATGAGGTGGAAGAAGAGGAGGAGGTGAAAGAGAAGGATGAGGATGAGGAAGAGAGCGAGGGCAGCGACGAAGATGATGATACGATCATCGACGATATTGACGAGGGGTTCGATACAGCGGCGGATGTGCCAAGCGACGGAGACGAAGAAGACGACGATGAAGTGAGCATCGAGGATGAAAGGGCGGTGAGGATTATGAGACTGAAATCGAGGACGAGGATAGGGAAAAGGAGGAGAGCTATTGGAGCATGGTAGCAAAACAGAAGAGTGGTAAGACTGCCAGTGAAACGACGAGGGCTGAACTGAAGGAATAGAAAAAGGTTGAGGTCATGGAGGACAAGAAGGTTGAGGTCAAGGGGGATACAAAGGTTGAGGCCAAAGGGAATAGCAAGGTTGAGAGGAGCAAGAGGACTTTACAGATTTCCATCTTACAGAAGTGCGGTGGCACAGAGCGCCAAAGGAGATTCTCAGTTCCGGGTACCTATGGGACAATAACACGGCGGATGTAAGTAAACCGCTCCATCAATTGGAAGTACGCTTCAAAAAAAAAGCACACACATGCCCCTTACCTTCTTTCCTTTCTTCGCTGACCACAGTACCTCTTGTTATGCTTGTGGAGATTTAGGACATTTCTTTTCGCCAGTTCCCGGGATCGCGAGGGCTATGTGCCTCAGAAGCTGCATTCCACGAAGGCATTTATTTGACGGTTATTGCCTGCAAGGCGAGGGACATTACTGGTCATTACGAGGCAGGGCACATGAGACATATGAATGTGTGTGCGAGTAAGTGAAGTGGGCTAATCAAGAAATGCTTTACAAAGCGGCTTGTGATTTTGTTTGTTTGTTTGTAAGTTTGTTTGTTTGTTAGATGCGATCTGATGTTGACTTGATGATTTTTGTTCTCACTAAGATGCCTGTACCTTCCTTCCTACCTTCCTTCCTACCTTCCTTCCTTCGTTCCTGTCTTCCTTCCCTAGCTGTTCATCATGAACCACAGACAGAAGAGGACATGGACTATTGTAGAAACAAAGAAGTTTATGTTTGTGCACAGACGGCAAGATGGTTTGCGAGGATGTTCTTGGTGTTTGTGTGTTTTATTGTCTAGAGACCCTCACCGAAAATAGAATTTTTGATATTTTTCTGGCACAGCATGCTCTTTCTTCTTATTCTGCCCCCACAGGCAGTCGAGTAAAAAAGGTGGAAAGCGTCTCGTTCCTACAAATTTCTGCCATCCTTGTGCTTGCTCTCTGTCATGTCCATGTGGACCATCTCCTTGCTTCTTGAACAACTTGAAGCCAACTGTCATTATTTAACCTTGGCTGACTGAATGCCTGAATGACTGACTAACTTACTGACTGACGGACAGGCTGGCTGATATTGCTCCTGTGCCTCTTTCAACTTGCTACCGAAGGAGTGATACTTTGGCCGTTTGCATTCTTGCTTATTTCCAAACCCCAGTGCACAAGGCACTGACAAGTGGGGGCAGACAGGGGCTCAGACTTTTATTTTATTGCGGGGTTATCCACATAAGGTCGGTTTATAAAAGTCACGTGACACATATGGGTTTATCCCCGTCGGCATAGGCACGGTTTTAAACCGATAGGCAGCCTTGCATAATTTTTTTTTTCTGGCGGAATCATCCACATGGAACGCATGCATGTCACTCCATTCTTCCCTCTTTCTCCACTCCACATCGCCACATTAGCCTCATTCAGACAAGCCCACACCCCAATCTTCCCTCTTTCTCACTTCACATCGCCACATTAGCCTGATTCAAACAAGCCCACACCCCAATACACATTACACACACCCCCCCCCCCCCCCCCAATACCCGACTAATTAATGACACGGGTAAGCTAAAAAGGTCTTTGCACAATTGGGGCGATATGTCCTGTACCTGATTGGCATCCACCATACCACCATACTTACTATTTCGTTCTATTGTTTTATTGTTTCGCGTTAAACAAGTCGTGCAGCTTTTCTGTTAAAGGCAAAGCCATAGCACGAAACAAACGGCAGCAGACGAGCATGCAAGGCAGCCAGCCGGCAAGAGCAAAATCTAAGCTGGAAACCTACCGCGAACGCAATAGGGTTGAACAGCAAAATCACCTCTGTAATAAGCAGAAGGAGCTAGCAAGCTCCCAGCTTGTGGCCGAAGCTCGCAAGTCCTTGCAAGCCCAGTCGACGCGGGACCAGTATGATCGGTACCAGGAGAAGTTCATGGTATGGCAAATTGTAAAATGTACCCCCATTTTTGCACAAGCATAGATAAACTATGGCCCCCGACTCGACGCACTAACTAACTCAATCACTCCATCCATTGGTATAGGAATGGTGCGACGTTTCTGGATATAAGGATGATTACAACGTCACGAAAGGCAAAGTAACCCGTTACTTTGCTTGCCTGACCTGCGAGACGGAAGATCCTCAAAACGGTATGAATATGAAGAATGGAACTAATGTGAGCGGTCATACGATACGACGACGACGACGAAACGCTATGGTGGTGTTTGAAATTATAAGAACTAACGAAAATATAAATGCTATAGGTATTATACGGATCAAACCGTTGCCAAGAGACAGGAAGGGCAACAACAGCAAGGACAAGTCCGGCGAACGGCGGGCAAATATGGATGACCCGTGTTCTGATGATGATGTCGATGGAGGCGATGTGGAGGACAAAAGCGATGACGACTGCGAGGGGGACGCCAGTCGAGACGTTGACATCCACAACAGCAACAACGATAACAGTGAAGAGCGGTGGTACTCGACGGCAACCATTCTCTTGCACCTCGCTGCCATTGGCGACCTCTATAAGCATCAGTGTGAAGACAGGAACAATTTAGCGATGGATTATGGCACAGTTCCGGCCCCGAAGACGTACCTTCAACCTCTGATCGACGTTTACCGCGTGAGGATGTCCGCCAGGAAGAGGTCGACAGATACCGACTTTGGCTCTATCGACTTCACCCAGAACCCAACTTCGATTGTTCGGCAGCTAATGAAGCGATTCTGGATGCGCAATGTGGAGGGCGCAGCCAGCTTGAGAAAGCGCCGCTTGAAAGGGTTACGCGACCGTGCGGATGTAAGTCTTTGCTTTTTTATGATGTTCCGCAGCGAGGTCACACGCCAGATCCGACTCCCGGATCTTTTCGCCCACGACGTCGAGCCCAACCGCAACAAAAATACGAACGATGCCAGCTGCAGAGAAGGCCAATTCGTGCTTGGAGTTGTGCTGATGATGAGGCAAGGCAAGACGAACAAGGACGGCAAGATTCAGTATGGAGTTGCAGTTCGGAACAAAGAAGTAGATGTGTGTCCAGTTGGCGCGCTAGCCTTTTATTTGCTTGAGCTTTGGTCGGTAAGTGGCGTGCATGTGGTAAATGTCGGCGGCCGACGCGTCGTGTCACTCATATTTCAACACTCATTTAATAATGCGTTCTTCCCCCCACCTCTTCCTTTTTTTTGCTGTACTAAGAGCAAAAACAAAAGGGCGCCTGATCTCACCAACCCTAAATGGACCGACTACCATCTGTTAGCTGGAAACAAACCAATGGATGCACCGATGACTTACAACTCCCAGTTCCAGGCGCAGGTGGAGGCTCTTCATGAGAGCGGGATATTGGACAAGGGCACAGTGACTCACCTTGGGCGCAAGCACGGCTCCAGATTCGCGCATATGTGTGGATCTACGGTAGAGGCTATCGCTAAGCACGGGAACTGGGCATCGAACCGTCTCTCAACTCACTATCTCGAGGGTGTAGAGCCTTCAGTGGCCCTTCGATTGGCTGGATTTGACCGCGACCGTCTAGAGCGCTTTTGGTTGGCTCGGAACACTGTGATCCCCAGCATTGAGCTCCAAAGGCAGTTGTTCCCTTTCATCGAGGATGCTTGCTCCGACACGTTCTGGAGGCTCACGATTGACAACATTATGCGTGACTGCGACGTTTTCCACGGACGCGAGGAGTTGCGTGAGAAGCTGCGACGGGGCGAGTGCAAGGAAGTCAAGCAGGTGTACACGGACAAGGATATGCAGACCGTTCTGTCGAATGAGGTCATTTCAAGAAAGCGCCATCTTAGCCTTCTCGCCCACCTGCGAAAGGTTATCCTTCAGGATGCAGCTGTCATCCTGTCCGGGGGTGGTGCTGCCGCCGCGCACCCTGTTTTCGATCACCCTGTCTTCAAAACACCTGCGTTTCAAGATTTCCAGCAAACCCTACTCGAGAGCATGAGAAATCCCTCTCCTCTCACGGATTCCCTCGCATCTGCCACACCCATCATCCAACTGGAGTTTGACAGGGTCGGCGCGAGGCTCGGTGTCCAAGATGCTGCAATCCGGAGCCTGCAGCAAAGCCAGCAAGCCGGACTTCAGAGTTTGCACGCCGGTATGAATGTTCTAGCAGCTACTTTACAAGCTCAGAATGATAGGACAGCATCCGAGCTGAAGGACTTGAAGCGGTGCATTGGCAACAATGACAAACTGGCAGGCAACAAGCGACAATGTTTGAACAAGGATGCCGTTCGATCTCAGTTGATGCAAGCTCTCAAGTCAACGGTGGAAGCCGTGGTGGCGATTAGCGAGGACGATGAGGTGAAGGTCAGTGACGACGTCAACGGCAGTGTAGCAAGCCAGAGTACCACTATGGCTACCGCCATCGCTCTTCTTCAGCTTCCAGAGCCGGACGCTGGCCAGCAAGAATCAAGACCTCTGACTTCTTCCACTGCAGTTCTTTCAAGGGATGCGCACCGCCGCGCAGCTCTGGCCGCTTTCAACCCCAGCGACAATGTCGAGGACAGAATGCGACAAGTAGCCGCCTTAGTCGCCGACGAGAAGAGGGCGAGAGGAGAGACCCAACACCATATGCCCCTAATGCCCGAGTGCAAGCTGATCCCACGACCGAATACGCTCGACCAACTGTGGCAAGAGTGGGTTTACCACGGCGTCGATGGGTCCCCCTCCATCGCAGAGCTTAATAGGTGGTTCGGTTCAGCGTGGCGAGGCAAAGATGCACAGCTCTACAAGTGGAAGAAGGACATTGTACATTCGGTTCTGCGCTCTATCCCAGCTGGCTTGCAGGTTGACAAGTCCGCCGTAAACAATGCACTTGCCTTCGTAAGAGGGCAAATCGATACTGTTGGTTCAATTGATAAATACTACAAGGCTCTTCCCAAAGCACCCTCGAGAAAGTACCCAAAGAGAAGAGAATAAACACCATCCTTGGTCTATCACAGTGTTACATGTCAGCTCGCTCTACATATGGTTAGGAGCAGGGTGAGGGCAATGCTGAGGGAAGGAGGAGAGAAGAGGATAGTAGAGAGGGGAGTAGAGAGAGTGATGATAGAAGGACCTAGGGATAGAGGGAGGGAAGAGCAGAGAGGAATAGAGGGCAGAGAGTGTGATGTAAGCAGGAGGGCAACGCAGTTCTCAATGTGTTCAGGCACAGGCACGAGAGGAGAGGGCACATGAAACAATCTATTCACACATATGTGACTGGTTTATAACTGTCTATCGTGCTCGGAATAAAAAAATCTATAAACCATTATAAGCCGCTAATCTGTGTATAATGTCTATTTCATCCAAAATTTAGGATGTTTTGGTTAATCTGAGGTTTACCGATAGCAGACTCCGTAGCAAATCATAAATGAGAAACAAGCAGATGGGAACTTACATAAATCTAGCTAGGCTAGCTCATCAGCAGCGTCGCGGGAAGCCATTGTTGTCAATGGGTCCGTTGTCGAAGTGCTCGATGTTTGTTGTGTTCCAGTAGCGAGAGACTGGGGTTCTGAAGGGGTGGCGCCCTCTGGACGCGTTGATCTCCTGTAGGGAGGAAGTGGCTGTCTGTTGTCGCTCATGATTGTCGTGAATCCCGCCAGTGCAATGTTGACACATGCATTGCTATCCCTGCCTCGACGTGCATAACCGGCGCGGACACTCTCACAGTTGGGGTTTTCGCACTGGACCGCACCGTTGATTGTGACCAGCTTCTCGACTCCGTTGACAAGTCTCAGTTCCTGGACGAGGCGTAGAATCGCAAAACAAAACGGACAGACTTTGCTAGTCATGTTTTCATCGGTCATCAGTACAGGGACGGAGAGGGCATGTTGCTCAACGACCGTTTTTCCGCCGTACTTTAGATGACCGCCAATGCGACTCCCAGTTCCGATTCCTGCCGTCCCGACGAACATGATAGGGATGATGGGCAACGCATCTCTGGGGCATTCCTGTGGATAGGTGAGTGCCCTTCCAACGCGGATTGGGAGGTGGTGTCTACCACACTTGCAACACCCATCGATAGAGTCGACTGTGTTGACTGATGCTGGTTGGGTCTGTCCTGTTCCTATCAAGAAAACAAAAATAAAAGTACGTTTTAGTTATTTGAATGCCCATTGGAGTTAACAACAAGGAATCAATGCACTCCGATTCTTAAATCCATAAACTTACCTCTGGAAAAATCCTGCATTTTCCGTCGTTCGTCGGCTGCGATCGTCTGCCATGCTCGCTGCAGTTGAAGATCCTTGTGGTGGGTTTGTTTCACTAAGCTTTTGCTGCCCTCGAAGTTGCGAAGGGGTTGTGTAGCTGATCGTCGGGTCACCTGTGCAGAGTCAACATCACTGATAGTCCGCGCCTTCAAAACGGAGTTTTCTCCTATCTCCTTGTGAAGCTCCGAAATCCTCTGATTTTCCGGCTGTCGAAGCAAACGCTCCCTTGTTCGAGTCGCCCTACCTACTCCACCGACTTCTTTGACCTGTTTTGCGGTGATGCGGTTGGACTTGGCAAAACGCATGTCCTCGATCGTTGCCTTCCGGGATAAAGAGCCTGTTATCGTTATGGCGTTCCGAGTCCGTTCTGGAAGAGATGGCGCTTTCGATTCTGAATGCAGAGAGGGCTGGGTGTCCGTGCCATCAATGTCCATATCCACAGCATCAGCGTGAGAGGTGGGCGGCTCTGAAGCCCCGTCGTCGTTGCCGGTGTGGTGAGTATCGGGATGACCTATAACGTCAAATGAAACGCCGTAGGAATTATTGCATGAAGACACGATCTTGATATGATAGAGCGACAGTAGTAAAGCAGAAAAGAAAACATACCATGGAGAATATAGTATCGGTTTGATAAAGATTCCAGAGTTGACCACAAGGAGGGGACAGTCTCAGACATAGTCACCAATCCTCTGTCAGTGCCTGGTACAGGTAGTTGTCGGTCCTTGTCTTCAATTTCTAACAGTAGCTGCTTGATGGAGGTTGTCTGAACAAAGTCTTGCATCCCAGGATGTTGAACAGTTGGGACAGACTCTGTGACAGTCGTGATGGGCAGGGGAGAAGGGTCTTCTGATAGTGCTGTTGGGGGGGCAGTCGCCTTGGACAACCTGTTGTAATAGTAGCGTTGCTGCTTCTTTTCCCGGATCTCAGCCTCGAGAGGAATGATCTTCTTCTTCAGGTTGTTGACGACTTTTCGTGCCTCCTGTAGGTTCTGGTAGATTCCCTTTTTGTGTCTCTGGTCGTGTCCTTCATAGTGACGAAGGGTGCGGTCCTTTTCTCTCCTGACCGTCGTGGCTGCCTTGAGGCCCTTCTTGAGGGGTTGTAGCTCTGTGACCAAACGATCCTGAACAATCTTGATCTCCTCCGACGCTTTGGCTGCAGATTGAGGGGTATGCCCGGTTTCCAGTAGTTCCGACGTCCAGTTGATTACACCTGATGGCTTAACATGCTTCTTCTTCTTGTCTTCGTACGCACTGTTGGTGAAGTGGCGGTTTGGTCCCGTTATCGCCCGTCGTCCCATGATGCGTACTGTGTAAAAGTCGACGTACGTCATTCTATCATTTTACAAACAATGCACGGTAAACTGTTATTCAATTGACTCATGATGGTCATAGATATGAATGAGGAGAGGTCATATTCAAGACCTTATGTATGCATACCTTTGTGCGAACTCAAGTCCATGTTTCGTGCAGGCATCGTCGATGATGGCCATATTGAAAAGTCCACCGAAAACATATTTGCGATGATCGGTAGACAGTCTCGCGACGGTCGACGTCGTGATTACTCGACCACTTGGGCCCTTGATATCGAAGCGTCCTGGTGCTCGCCCGCCAAATATGTCATACACCCCTGACGCGTCCAACGGCACAGCATGCCGATTTCCAACAGCAGGAACTGGGCAAATCCTACGGGTGAAATCCTTGTATCCCGCCGATCTCAAGATTGCATTTGCAATATACACAAACGGCCCCAAAGTCAAGACGCTCTTTGGATAGGAAGTTGACTGGGGTCCTGAGTGGGCCTTCTTAGGGGTAAACGGTCTCAGTAATGTCACTAGCCGCAAGACGGCCAAAATCTCCTCCGTGCTGTACATCTCAGGCTCGTAGAGCTTCGCCTTGACTGTCTCTTCGGTGATGGGTATGTTCGAGTCTGGCAATTCCAGCAACCTGATAGCTACTGCTTCTAGACCTCGGAGCTTCTTTGATGTCGGCTCCTTTGGTCCTACGGTGGAGAAAAAGGAAGTGAGAGATATTAGTCAACAGTTAATACCACAAACTCAGCAAGGAGCAGCGTCCGATATTAGTTATTGGTACCTGTTGAGGAGCGTGCCACAGATTCAGACGGACCACTGCTCTGAGCCTCTGCATTAATAGAGCGACCGGCATCTGACTGCTCCTCCATGACCCCCATCTCGCAATCTTGATCTGCTGTGTGAGTGCAAGGCCTTAAAACATCATCGCTGCTCTTGCTCGAGCCCGAAACAACCAACTCAGTATCCATATCGTCGTCTGAGTCGTCTGAGCCGTCAAACTCCGAGTCCGTCTCGTAGTCGTCGCTTTGGGTGAGTCCACGTGACTTGTTCTGCTCCTTGACTCCTGGCCGCCGCTCTTGATGGATGTCAATGAGCCCGAAAATCTTGTTGATGCGCTCCTCGTCTCGACTAGTATCAAATGCGTGATCAAGTTGATTGAATAGGTCCTGGTTTCGCCTTTTCCAGTTCCTCAGGGACTCTCGACGCTTTTGGCTTGCCGATGCCGACGCCTCCTTCATCTCCTCGGCCTTCTTGATAGCACGCTTCCGCTTTTGGATGCGGTGCTTCTCCTCGCTCTGGGGTCGTAGATTGAGTCGGAGAACATTGTGCACCACGTACCGTCTCAACCTCTCGTAAATGTCTCCAGACCATATCATCTTGATGTTCGTAGCGTACTCTCGCATGAGTGTGGCCGTCAAGCCCCCCAGGCTTTCCTTCGATGAGTCCTCTGACTGGTATCCGACCTCGACATTGGCATCAGCAGCAGCATAGGCATCATCCACAGCGCCGGAACCAGAGGCTTGAGATAAGCTTGGAATGATCTTGAAGGGGTTGGATGAGGGTGAGTCAGGATGCCTTGAATCATCCCAGGCTTGTGGTACCAGCTTCCCGCTATAGATGCTTTCAAGCACTGTATCCCACAAGGGGTGGGTGGTAGTCTTGGGGGTCTTCCTCGCACGTCTCAATTCTGGAATCCGAACTCCAAGGTACTGCAAATAATCCTGGGATAGCAAGGTTGCCGGATCCTTCACTCGGGGCTTCAACTCCGTAGCATCGGATACAATCTGTTGCCACTCCGGAGTAATGACTCCCGCTTCCACGATCGGGTTCTCCTTGAAGTAGTCGTCCCTGATATCAAAGGATGGCGGGAATATGTCAGCTAGGTTAAGCTGTATGCTTCCTTGGATGCCACCGCGACAGATCTAGAAAGTAAACACGGTCGTGATAACATATAATATTAGTTAACTTGAAATAAATATGTCCTTGCGCGACCACAACCAAGACAGAGAATGTTGAAAACATACCCATAATGTTGTCTTGTACGCTCCCATGGCAACGGATTCCATAAAGTCAGACACCTCACCCTGTACGTCGTTTAGCCTCTTGGTGATGTAATCTTGATCCTTCGTGGGGAGATCCGTCCTGAGCAGCTTCGCAAGAGGTAGGGTAATAGTGCGAATGCTGTTGTCATCCTGGGCGTCGATGTCCGATGGGGTTGGGGCGATAGTTGTTGAGTTTGCTGAAGCAACGGTAGGATCAGATATGTGGTCCTGTTCCTCGATCCATGCCATGTCAAAGTGTCTTGATAAGGCCGCCTTATATGTCGCTAGAGCTCGTCCAGTAACGGTCTGAGGTTCTCCAATAGGGTGGGTAATCATCATCGATGCGTGATGGTTGGTAAAGTCCTCTTCGTCGTTGATGCCGCAGTGTTGGCGAACGCGTCGAGCAGTTTCATTCATGACTCCCCGAGGCGTTCTTACACGTTTCTCTTCCGCTTGCTTTGCATCAATATGTGCCTTCTCCAATGCTTCCCTCGGATCTGCCTCCTTCTTTGCACGCTTCTTCGCCGTGCGGCACTGATCGGCCGCCTCCTTCTTGACTCGGGCCTCACTAAATGATTTTTTTTAAAAATATCGAAGACAATCAATAAAGAGGTAAAAATCAAACAAAAAAAGTCTAAAAATCATTCACATAGTAGACATCAAAAAACACCATTCCTCCTTGTAGATGGTCTCTAGTGCGACCCTGTCGATCTCGCATCCTTCTCTCTGCTGGCGCGGTCGTTTGGCGGTTCGGAATGTCGCAGCAGGTCCTGGTGGAAGTGGTAGAGACGGGGGTGTTGGTGGCCGTAGATCAATGAAAAGATCGTCCTGTTCCGTACGAGTTGGTCCGAGTATATTGTAGTCCGAGTATCCCAGAATGGACGATGCATCATGAAGAATACCGACAACTCCTTTTGGATAGGGATGGGTGATGACAATGGGGCGGGCGGCGGTGTCAAACAGGAATATGTTGATGTGCAATAGTGCTGAGATGTAGCGAAGAAGAAAGCTTGAAGGTGGAATGGGATATGTGATGGTGTTTTCCTGGTTCCTCCAAAGCAGCAAAAATCCGGTCTCGTTCCTCTCACCACGCTCCGGTGTCCATGAGCCATCCAAGATCGCAATGATAAGCCGTGCAAGAGAGGGTGTTGTGCTGAAATTTAGTGCCAAGTGGTGCTTGTTGATAAAGCGAAAGGCGACGGACGCTTGACCCTGTGCTATGGGTTGGGCCTCTGAAGCAATAAAAGCTCCTCCTAGTCGCTGATATAGATCCCCATTGAATCCCTCGTGCAGGATTTGTTCTGCAGCCTCGTTAACGAACTTCCAGTCCGGCATAAAGGAGTGCATCTGCTTCGTAGTAGTTAAAACAGAACGGAACAATATGTTGTGAGTACATAATCTCTCTCTCTCTCTCTCTCTCTCTCTCTCTCTCTCTCTCTCTCTCTCTCTCTCTCTCTCTCTCTCTCTCTCTCTCTCTCTCTCTCTGCAAAACGCAAGGTGATGAACGTTCATGAACTGTTTTACGTACTCCAGGGCTATTGTCGCTCATGACGGATGTTGTCGTCTTTGCAAAGAGAGTGTGCTGGTGGTGGTGGTGTTATCGTTCGTGTGTCACGTTGGGAAAGTGATCAGAAAAGGTTGAGTGGCAAGAGGAATGTGTGGAATGTAGTGTTGTCGTTCAGTGTCGTGTAGAAAAGGGAACAGATGTATAGAATGTGAAGGGAAGAAAAAAGAGATCGAGTGTTGTCTTTCTGAAGAGAGTGTGTTGTGTGTGTGTTGGTTAGGTGCGGGTGAAGCTGGAGAATAGGGTATGCTTTTCGCCAGTATCAACTTCGCTTAATTGAATAGGCCTTTTTGGCTCGCACTTTTTATACCAAGAATAACATTGATCATAAATTGATAATTTTGCGTGAAATCCACTATAGTATTTATGACAGTTACTTTCCTTCATTCCCCTCCTCCTTCCTTCCTTTCTTACTGTCTTTCTGTCATTGTTCATACCCTGCCTCTATCATTATACCCCCCCCCCTCCTCCTTTTTTTTTAACACCCTTTCTCTTCACTCCCCGTTCCCTTCTATACCCCTCCCACTTGTAGTCACACAAGTGACAAGTGGATAATCACCTCTTCCCTATCCTTCCTACTCGACTCAACCCAACAGACCAACGACAATGAAGGCCACACTAATTGTCTCGGCTCTGCTGGCGGCAACAATGGTCGTCTCGGCAGGAAGACTGCACACCCCAACCCCCTCCAACTCCCAGCAGCTCGTCCGCCGGTCGTTCATTGTCGAGTACGACCACCACCACTCCCACTCCCACTTTGCCACTGCACTCAAGCGTCGACAAATCGAAGTCGATGTCCACAAGGAGTACGAGATCTTCAATGGAGCCGCCATCACCCTCCGCTCGGACGAACACAGCGGCGAGCATCTGGCTACCTTGGCTGGCGTCAAGAATGTCTGGCCCGTCACCACCTACTCCCTGCCTCACATCCGTGAACCCCCCAACCCCATTGAGACCCTTGCAGAGGGTGTCATCCAGGCAGCTGCAGTATCGAACCACAACTCGACCGGTGTCAACGTCCTCCACGACTCCTTCAACCTCACGGGCGCAGGGATTAAGGTGGGCGTCCTTGATTCGGGTGTAGACTACAACCACCCCGTCTTTGCTATCCCTCCGGCCACCACGGGCTGCTTTGCCGTCGACTCTCTAACCTGTCGGTTTATCAAGGGATGGGACTTTGTGGGCGATGCCTACACCAGCGAGAGAAAGCCCGTACCAGGGCCAGACCCAATGGACAGACATGGACATGGAACCCATGTGGCCGGTATCATCGGTGGCAACGCTCTCTCCCCGACTATTGTCCCTCGACCAATTACTCCATGGGTCGGTGTTGCCCCTGGAGTCACCTTTGGAATCTATAAGGTCATCGGTAAGGCTGGTGTCACCACGACCGAGGTCTTGTTGTCGGCGATGGAGATGGCCTACAAGGATGGCATGAATGTAAGTTGACCATCATCTTTCCATCTCTGTCCATTCTTTCTTGTTACTACAACTGTCCTACCCTGTTGTCCGCTGCTGCCGTTGTACTGCACTCCCCTTCCCCCTATCATTTTTCGCTTCCCCTTTTTGCCTCCGTTCACTTCCACTTATTGTTTACTTTATTGTTGTTGTAGCTGATGCACACAGCCCAGCGGGCGGATGCTCTGAAAGTCGAAAATCTGACCCCTCTCGACCCCCGGTAAACAAAATACAACAACAACCCAGCAGAAACTAAATATACACTGGCTCCATGGCTCATTCTAGATTATCAACATGTCACTCGGTGGTGGGTCAGCCTACAGAGATGGGCCCGAGGCTAAACTAGCAGAGACCCTGACCGCCAACGGCATGGTTGTCATTTCTGCAGCAGGAAACGAGGGCTCCGACGGCGTCTGGATGGTCTCTGACCTGGGTCTGGGCGACAGCACCACCTCCGTCGCCTCCTTCGACGGCGCATTCGCAAACTACAGCTACTTCACCTACGCCGGCGTCAACTACCCCTACCAATCCTCGCTCATTTTCGGACCTGGTATTGCAATCAACACTGGAATCACTCCCATCTTGTCGACCCTCGACGGATCCCTGTCCAGCGGATGTAACCCGGCCTTTTACTCAGGACTCGACCTCAGAGGCAAATATGCGCTTGTCAAGTACTCACCCGGAGAGTGTGATTCAAATATTCGCCAGGCCAGCTTCCAGACTGCCGGTGCAATCGGCTTCTTGGTTCAGGCACTGCAAGGAGAATTTGTCGGCTTTGTTGCCACATCCACCTTCCCTATTGCTGGAGTCGACTATGCATCCGGCTTGGCGTTGATCGCAGCCTGGAAGGCCAACCCTGCAGGAGCCTTTGTCTGGAGTGGAGCTACAACGGCCGAGTTTCCCAATCCTGACGGTGGTGGACCCTCCAGTTTCTCGTCGTATGGTCTAGATGGTGAACTTCGATCCAAGCCTGATGTTGGAGCACCCGGCGGAAAGATTCTATCTGCCTACCCTATTGCCGAGGGTGGATACAGCGTCTTGTCAGGCACCTCCATGGCGACTCCCTATATTGTCGGAGCCAACGCGTTGTATATGGAGTCTAAGCGCGCTAAGCCTCTGGGAGCCGTCATCCGCAAAGCCTTCAAAAACACGGCTACATTTAGCCGCGGCCCTGGCTCGGTGATCGTGGATTCAGCTCTCAAGCAAGGAGCAGGATTGATTAATGTTCTAAACGCCATTCGTACGACTTCATCTATTACTCCCGACCACATTGACCTCCTGGACACTGTCAACTTCAAACGGACGACCGATATTACCATCACCAATTCAGGAGCGACTGCAGAGATTTACACTCTGTCCCACGTTGCTGCCGATACTCTTAATTTTTACTACGTCGCCGGCAACCCCTTTCCTCAAGGCAAACCTTTGGTCTCAAAGGACCAGGCCACCGTCAGCTTTGGATCGAACCAGATTCAAATAGAAGCCGGCCAGTCTACTACAGTGACCTTGACATTTACTGAGCCTTCGTCAGGAGATGCCTCCCAGTTCCCATTGTACTCGGGATTTGTGGTAGCAACCCCAGCAACAGCAGGTGCGATCGCAGTCCATGTCCCTTACACGGGCATGAAGGGCGATGTTAGGCAGGTGCCCATGATGGATACCGTCTCTGGATACCCAATGCTGACGATGGTGAGCGCCTCTGGCCGGTCCTTGGTCTCTATTCCCCGCAGTGCGGTCTTTGACCTGACTCGTCCCAATGCCACCGTGGTCCCAGTGGTCTTGACCCGTCTTGGCTCGCACACACCCGATCTGACCATTCGGGTCTACACTGACAAGAACCAGTTTGCCGGGTTCATGAGCAGTCCGTCGAAGGGCCCCGCGTTCGGAACGTCTGGTCGCCAGATGAACCTGGACCAAGAGACGAATGAGAAGGAGTTTTCGGGCTTTGATTGGGAGGGCGAGATCTACCTGGTCGAGAACTCAACCACTACAGCCCATCAGATCGTCCCTTCAGGCTCATATAATATTGTGGTTGCGGCCCAGAAAAAGTTTACAAAGGGCAAATACCCCGACGACTTTGAGGTCTACAAGCTGGGATCTTTGTCGGTCAAGACCAACGGTCCTCCTCTCCCCGAATTGACCGACAATGGCACCGTTGGATCGAGTGCTGCCGTCTCATCCCTTGGGAGCCTTGGAGTTATTGCCGTGACGAGTGTTTTGATGTCCTTGGCCATGGCCATCGGTCTGTAAGCAATGGTGGTCCTTCTTGTATCTATTATTTAACTATGAATTATTTATCTTTTTTTCACATTCTGTTACGACCCCCTCCTAAAATAAAAAAATGAGTGCGTCAGTTTTGCGCATGTTGTTTACAAATAACACGCTTCACGAGAATGACTTTTAGTTGATAGCATGAAAAGAAATGGGCCACTTGCTACCACGCGTTTTCTTCTCGATACTTTTTGTCAACTCTAGTTCCTCGATCTCCTTGCATCTTCCTTCAAAAAATAAAAAAAATGAAGAGGATCGGCTGCTTATGGGTACTATGGGTACTTCATTAAGACTACCGAGGCACTTGGGCACAACCGCCTCTATTTTACGCCATATATCCCAGTTGGCCTTACATGGCATTCCCTTGCCTTACCTGGCGCAATTGTCAAGTTTCAAAGACCGACCACGTCCTCACTCTCCATTGTGCCCTATACTCTGAACTCGCAATACAACTCCTTTTGTTGATGAAGAGAAGAGGTGAGGCAGGGGGAAGTGGAGAAGGAGAAGAATAAGAAGAAGAAGACATACATGCACATAGGCAGGAGTAGCAATTGAGCACCATGCAGATGTAACACAGAGGGGATCCGACAGGTATGCATGCAGAGGAGGCAAAGTTGACTAACCCTGCCCGTTTGTACCGTCTTTTCTTTATTAATATCTCTTCTTCAACCAGTTAGACTGAAATTCCAGAAATGGGTCTTTTGGAGTGCCAGGAGAGCGAGCAGGTATGTAAGGGTGCAATGGAGGATGTTTATTTCTGCGCAGCTTCGCTCCAGCCTAAGGTGCTTATGAGGCACCATACACGTTGGAGCTCTGAGATGATGGCGATGACTGGATGCACGATGGCGAGTTGTTATCGTCAGGTACTTCCCCAGGCTCACAGTGCTTTTATTAGTATTCAGTTGTGGACAACTGATCGTCGCTTTGCTTTTGTGATAATGGACAAAAAAGGGTTTCTTCTTTCATGTAGCTGAGAAACAACCTTACCATCGCGAGATTGGGTCCTCCCGATTGGACGAAAGTGAGGAAGCTCAGAAAGAGAGAGAAAAGAGATGAGAAGAAGGGCGACAAAGAAGGAGTGGAATGCCATTGTTGATCCCCTTTACATGCTCATCTTGTTTTGTAGGAGAGTCTGCACATCTGGCGTGCCCTATCTGGATGCAACTGTTGGTGTATTAACATCTCCAAGTTCGTTGTTCAACACCATAATTCCACGACATCCCCCCCTCTCTCTCTCTCTCTCTCTCTCTTTCTCTCTCTCACACACACGAGAGATGGGGTTACTTGAGTTCAGGTACCCTCGCAGACAACTGACCTGGGGAAAAGTAGTGCCATTCATGGGAGTGTATGTATCTCCGGTGATACGGAGAGACTGAGAATAAAAGTCGGTAGGGTGAGAGGGTTGAGATAGTTGAGAGAGTGAGCCAAGGGAAGAAGTATTTGTTGAGAGCATTCACTTACTTGAAGCAACAGACAGATGATACCAACCTCCTCAGCTCTGCCTCTTGTATTACCTCTTGAGAAATAAAACGTAGATGGTGGTGGTAATCATCGCGAAGCGTGTGGCATAAACAAAGACCTTCTCCATTCATTGGCCTATTTCTTTTTTTTTTGTTTGCGACTTCGTAGTTTATCCAGAGAAGGGCATCGTTACCATGTATACTTGTTTGCAAGCAGGCCAAAGACTGGAATGAAAAAGGAATTTTCCACCGCGCCCCCTCTGACCTCGATTTTCGACCCTGCGTGAAGACATGCACACACATTTACACAAAAAAGAGCAATGCGCTATTTTCATTAGTCTTGCAGAGCACGCTTCCTTACTTACAAACATCCAATTGAACCAAGGCAGGTGTGCCTGAATATGGGCCGTGAGAATTGATCGTTGTTGGCAACTAACCGCCATGTTACTTATACCGAGCCCTGTCTTCCAACAGTGCCCCCTTTATACTTCGAAGAAGGAACTCCATCCCAGACACTCACAGTGTTCGCAAAGCAGTCCTTGCTGGGTATCCGTTGCTTTCAAAAGTGGAGGTTGATAAAGAACAAAGGACAAAGTTGAAGAAGGATGAACGGCCTAGTCTCTTCTTTTGCACTTGTATATGCCCATGTTCGAAACTTCGGTCATACGTACCTCAACATTATGTATTGTACATCTTTGCTCGTACTCGCTTTCTACCTCAATTGGGCTGGAGTATGTTTCGCGAGTTCCCGGTTATACAGTTACTTGAAGCGAATCGAAGGAGATAGACTGGGTGATTGCATAGGAAGTGGTTCATATTCCTTGTGATGTGGAAGGTTGTATTCGCTTTCTAGAAATATATACATTTCGGGAGGAAAAAATGAGGCGAATGAGAAAGAGGATTGAAAATTAGAGAAGGATCGGAGGAAGAGTGCGCGCAAACGAACGGATGTGTGATAAAAGGATGTGGACTTATTTCCAAGTGACAAAGTTTGGAACCATAAACGAAGGGAAGTAAGAACAACAGGCTACTTATCGACACGGAAGGGCCGTGGGAAGGGCAAGATAAACAGCAGAGACAGTAGGTAAGAGAAGATGGATAGGAAACCCTGGGGAAATGATTGGTAGACTATCTCCTCTCTCGTTATTCTGGCCGCGTTGTTGGTTTTTTTAACCCTTTTCATTGTTTATGTTCTTGTTCCGTTGTTGTTGTTAATGATGTTGTTGTCAAGTGCTCTTGTTTGTTTTTACTTTGTTTGTATTTTTGTTCGTATTGAGGTAACTGTCGTTTGATGCTGAACGAAAATGAAGTGACCCTCGCATTTCACTCACGGTTGGCAGAAAATAGTAAATGCCAAGATGGAATAGTAATATCGAAAAAAAAGAGAAAGAGAAAGGAGAAGAGTTGGTCAATAGAATAGAATTACTCAATTGTTTGTTCGTTATCCTCCCATTGTTGCCGCATCCACTGCTGTTGATGTTCTTGATTTTGCTGGCCGTTTGTGTTTGCTGTCAAATGGCAACCGAGTGGGAGAAATTCATAGTCAAGAAGAATGACGAATGCAAGCATGTTTATGTATGCAGGCGACGAGCCTTTTATGTTGCTATTAGATTATTGAATCAGGTGCCACAAAGTAAAAAAAAAAAACGCCACGGATAAAGCGTGGAGATCTTTCTGCTGCATTTGTCTGAACTGCACCGCCAACCATGCCACAAATGCGGTCTCGACTGTTAAAAGGCTGTTGGATTGCACCATCTACTGAAAGAGACGAAGGGGACGAAAGAAAGAGAGGGAGAGAGAAAAAAAGGACATGAAAGAATGGAATTCTCAAAGTCCATAGATCGGTGCATATTTTCCATGCTTACGATGCCGCCCTTGAAGTAATTTATTATGGGCTATCCTTGACATCGATCGATGTCTCTCCCCTTTTTCATTATTGCTGAATTGTTTTCCTTTGGTGGCATTGTTATTATGATTGTTGTTGTTATTATTTTCAGCTCACTTGGATGTTGCAGTATTAGTGTCATGAGGAAGAGTTGCTGGAATGAATCCTGTTGGATAATGTGAGCCCTCTCATTACTCAGAGGAGATGGTCCCTTGCTCAATGAATTGTCTTCCCACTGTTGTCTATCTTTTCCCTTGAGTGTCCTTCAGGTCCAGATAGGGTTTCTGGTCTTTCGATTGGTTGAAAGAGGGTCAGGTCCACATGCCTCCTTACTGGACGAACGCCTCGGCAAAGTGTTTGTGCAGTAAGACCAGAGTATTTTCTCACAACCGAGGAAAGTGCTCTCAAGAAAAAAGAAAGAGATGAGAAAAGACACGTACATCTCCAAGGCCAAGAGGGAAAAAGGAATCCCAGGGGCAAAGGGCAGAGGTTTTTATGAATATTTGTGTTAGAACAAAGGGAGCAGTGAATGGCATCCAGGCCTTTGACACTTCTTTGTTTTTTTTTACATGGCTGGTCACACAAGCAGCTACTGCAACCGTCCTCTTGTGTTTGTGCACTCATTTCTAATCTCTCTCCTTCGCTGATGCCCTTTTTCTTTTCGTTTATCCGTCCGAGAGATAGGCGATGGGTCTTGTCTCCAGCACAGTACTGGGCAGTGTACCAGGGGTGGATAAACCCCATTCACAGCAGTACCTGGTCCTATTCAAGATCTACTGAAAGTGTCGACCGTTAGAGTTGACTAACAGAATAGAACGCCTGTCTTCCTTCCCCCCCCCCCCCCCCCCCCTCCTTCAGTCTCTCCCTTTGCTCATTCACAGTTGAGAGCAATTATGAGCAAAATAGAGACGAAGAGTCCATTGGGACAATTCACCTCGATCGCTTCCAACGGTGAAAACTCTCTCTATCTCTTACTTCCCCTTCTTGTTCAGGCATCACCAACCAAAACTCTTTGTCGGTTCTCACCTGCAGCCCGTCGCGCTCGAGTATAAATACCCTTGGAATCTCTCTTATATTTCTCTTCAGCCATCCAGGACTCTTTACACACACACACACCTTCTTTCCTCCCTTCCCTCCTTCCCTCCTCCTCTTCAACACTTCTCCCTCCTCTCCTCCTCTCCTTCCTCCCTCTCTCCTCTTTTCATATCCCCTCACTGTCTTTTACAGACCCTACATTCTAGAAGCCAAACAATGAAGATCACCGCCATCCTCTCCGCCCTCGCCGCGGCCACCTTGGTCTCCGCCGGCAAGTTCCACACCACCCAGCCCGGCAAGGCCAACGTCGTCCCCGGTGCTTATATCATTGAGTACAAGGACGGTATCTCCCACTCCAACGCTCACGACAACTTGAAGAAGCACGCCGTCGACTACAAGGTCCGCAACGAGTACGACGTCTTCAACGGCGCCGCCATTACTGTTAAGTCCGATCACGATGGTAAGGCTCTTGCTGCCGTTCCCGGTGTTAAGAACGTCTGGCAGGTCGAGATCTTCTCCCTCCCAAAGAACGAGAAGCCCACCAAGAACAAGAGCAACGGTGGTGACATCGAGGCACAGTCCCTCCACCACATGACCGGTGTCGATGTCCTTCATAAGAAGTACAAGTTGACCGGTAAGGGTGTCAAGGTCGGCATCATCGATACCGGTATCGACTACAAGCACCCCGCCTTTGCCGCATCCGGTGCCACCGAAGGATGCTTTGCCCGTTACGGCAAGAACTGCCGTATCAAGTACGGCTGGGACTTTGTCGGTGATGACTATGACGGCCGTACCGAGCCCAAGCCCGACTCTGACCCCATGGATTGCCAGGGACACGGATCCCACGTTGCCGGTATTGTCGGTGGTAACGCCCTCAACATCAAGACTGGTCCTAAGCCCGCCACCCCCTGGGTTGGAGTTGCCCCTGAGGTCACCTTCGGTGCTTACCGTATCTTTGGATGCGCCGGAAGTGCTGGTACTGATGTTATCATGTCTGCCATGGAGATGGCCTTCAACGATGGCATGGATGTAAGTTTGCAACGTTATTTTTCTTTCTCGTTTTTCGCGTGAACTAGGAAAACCTCGGCCCCTTGAATCTACTTACTGAACGCGTAAAACGCACTTCGTTCATTTTTTTCTCTTCGCTTGACTTTACTAGATCATCAACATGTCTTTGGGTGGTGGCTCTTCCTACAAGGAGAACCCTACTGCCATTCTCGGCGAGAAGCTCATTGCCCACGGCATGAACTTGGGCGGTGCCGCCGGTAACGACGGCTCCGAGGGTGTCTGGATGGTCTCAGACACCGGTCTCGGTGAGACTGCCACCTCTGTCGCCTCCTTCGACAACGTGTACGGCATGTACAACACTGTCTCCTACGCCGGTGCTAAGTACCCCTACAGCCCCTCCGCCGCCACGGGTAACAGCCCCATCGCTCTCCCTGCCTCCGCTACCTTGGTCCCTCTCGTGAGCAAGGCTGGCGCCCTCCTGGACGGATGCGAGGCTGCTGCCTACACTGGTCTCGATGTGAAAGGCAAGGTCGTCCTTCTCATCGGTGACTTCACCCGCTGCGGCTCTGTTGGCCGTGGAGAAGTTGCCAAGGCTGCCGGTGCTGCCGGTGCACTCGTCATGAGCGTTCCTTTCGGTTTGGCTGGTCTTACCGGTGCCGACGGACTCCCCATGGCATCCATCGAGAACCGTGCCGGCGAGGCTATCCTTGCTGCGTACAAGAAGAACCCCAAGAATGCCTTCACCTGGTCTAAGGCCCCCACCAACAGCCAAGTTGAGGGCGGTGGAGCTCCTTCGGACTTTTCCTCCTTCGGTGTTGACGGTGAGCTCCGCTCCAAGCCCGACATTGGCGCCCCCGGTGGAAACATCTACTCTTCCTACCCCCGCGCCAAGGGTTCGTACACCCTTATGTCCGGTACCTCCATGGCCACCCCCTACTATGTCGGTTCCCAGGCCCTTTACTACCAGGCCAAGAAGTCTAAGCCCTCCGGTGTTGATATCCGCAGGGCCTTTAAGAACACCGCCACCATCTCCAAGAACTGGGACTCCAAGACCTACACTTCCGCCGTCAAGCAGGGTGCCGGTCTCGTCAACGTGTTGAACGCCATCACCGCCACCGCCACCATCTCGCCCGACCGCCTTGATCTCTTGGATACCGTCAACTTCCGCGGTGTCCAGAAGATCACCATCAAGAACACTGGCAAGAAGACCGAGACCTACACCTTGTCCCACGTTGCTGCCGATGCCTTGAACTCTTACTCTAAGGGTAACACCTGGCCCGAGGCTATCCCCGTCATTGAAGCCGACTATGCTTCCGTCAAGTTCTCTGCCAACAAGGTCAAGATCCCCGCCGGCAAGTCTGTCAAGGTCACCCTCACTTTCACCGAGCCCAAGAAGGGCAATGCCAAGCAATTCCCCTTGTACTCTGGATATGTCATTGCCACCCCCTCGAACGAGGGCTCCCCTGCCGTCCATGTTCCTTACATTGGTCTCAAGGGTGCTGTCCGTGATGTCCCTATGATCGACGCCAGCGTCGGAGCCCCCGGCCTTGCCTACACCAAGGCCAGTGGCGCTATCGCCGACCTTCCCGAAGGCAAGTTTACCTTTAACTTCAAGACCGCCGCCCCCACCATCCAGGTCCGCTACGGCTCTCACTCTCCCGATGCCACCATTCGTGTCTATGACGCCAAGACCAAGGCCTTCCTCGGCTTTGTCAACTCTCGCATGGAGGGTCCCGCCTTCGGTGCCACTGGCCGCATGACCAATCTTGACGAGAACAGCAACCTCAGCATCCGCAACTTCGACTGGCACGGTCAGGTCTTCAAGACTGAGAATTCCACCGCTACCCCCGTCCAGGTCGCTGCCGGCTCTTACAACCTTGTTGTTGCCTCCCAGAAGAAGCTCACCAAGGGTGCCTACCCCGCCGACTTTGAGATCTTTGAGCTCCCCACCGTTATCGTCTCTGCTTAAATGCCATTATTTTTTTCGCTTCCTTCCCTGATACCCTCATATGTCATCTCCCTCTTAACGATTCCTGGAAACCTCCCCTCTAGCTACCTTTTTTTAAAGAAGTGGTTACCCTCCAGCGTTTGACACGCCTATTAGAAAAAAGTAATAAACTTGCATTCTGTAATACCAAATGTTGAACTTGTAATGTTGTTGCGACGACGCGTTTAGATGCAGCGTAGAGAAACGGTATGCGTCTTTCCTTTTATTGGGAGCGTCCTCAAAAGTAGGAGACAGAATGCAGAACGGGTGCGCTAGGGTATCGCTGATTGAATCGATCCAAGATGGGTTGAATCTCCTGGTCCAAGTCCCGAGCCTGTTCAATGTCCTTGGCAAGGTGAAGAATCATCCGTCCACCGACCATGGCTTCCTCGTAGTTGTCCTTAATATCCACGTTGATTACATGTACTGGGTTGCTGTGCGATTCTCCTCTTTGGATCAAATCTAAGTCGCGTTGGTTGTATTTATACATACATGCAAAAAGGTTCCATATAGAGTGCAAGGATGGAAGTTGGTTAGATGTGACATTACAAGCGACAGCGTGGCTGTCATCAGTTATACAACAGGGGTGCGTTACAAACGCACCTTCGCAGACAGCGTCGAAGCACCGCTCTTCGCAAGTGATGATGACATCAAACTCCTGCCGACTCTCCTGCCACCGCTCTGGCGAGTTTTTGATTTTGCGATTCCTGTCCAGCATTAGCAGAAGTCCGTTCGATTGGTATCTATACCCGCAAAAGGAAAAAAAAAACATGAGTAAAGCCATGGCGTAAACATAATGATTTGAAAGCCGCTGAAGTCGAGCCAAACTCGTTAAGTTTGCTGATCAGGAGCCTCCCTCATTGTTAGGGTATCATTGTATGTCTATGTCTTCTTACAGCTGTGTATCTTTCCCTTTCAGTTCCTGGTAAACTTCGTTGTAGGGGGTCCCAAAGTTGTAGATATTTGGCTTGTCGATGGTTGGTCCAGGCAAGCGGACCATTGTTCCTGTTCCATAAGATGAAACTGTGAACCCGTTCTTGCTATTATCAAACGTCAGTTCGTCAGTTCATAGTTCAGAGTCTTTGTTTGCTGTTGCGTCGTTGTTTGATTCAACAACGTGTCTTGGGTGAAGAAGGAAGACAGACAAGCGCATTGGGTGTCACATGCTCTCTTACAGAAGGACGTTGTGGGCTTCCATGCTCCTGTTCTGGTTAGATGCACAGATGACAGCAAAGCGGACCATGTTGAGGAAGTTGTCATGAATGAGATTGCGAGTTTGAGTCGTTGAAACGTCTAATATCAATAATGAGTAGCCCTAGCAAGGGGCGCATGGTGCGTGACTGTTAAGGTTGGGACGAATGCAGCACGAGCCATATTATGGTCACGATCCCTGGCTCGGTGCATTGGTCCATGGTGATATGTTGGTGTGGCATTGACAACAAGACTTGAATGTGGAGTGCTCGTCAGACGACACGGTCACGAACTCCAAGGCGTCCAACTTTGCAAGACAAGAGAAGATGCAAGCATTAGGTTTGATATAAAAATAAGGAGAATTTCATGCTTACCTTGGTCTTCAGCTTCTTGGAACACTGCAAATGTCGGATGGGCCGATCGGGCTTGGATGTGGAGTTGCCGTCCCCAGCAACAAACAAGGGCGTACTCTATTGTCCCTCTCTTCACTTGCCAATGATTCTACACGACCGGATGATTGCGCCGATAGCCTCGTCCAGTGTAGTGATCTGAGCCAACCTCAGGTTTTCTGCTCTTGAGCTTGAACATGATGGAACCATAGAAGGCTCCAAGCTGCTCGTATACCACAAGTTCAGAGAGGCAGTTTCGGCGGATGGAATCTCGCAGGCTCAATAAATTAACCGACTCGTCTTCGGTATCAGAAAACTGAGGAAACTTGGGATTGTCGACAGCAGACGCAGGAAGAAATTAGGGATTGATCGTTTGCATGACTTTTAGCTCACTCTCGATTGACTATGTTCCTCGCTTGAAGAAAAATTGTCTGGATATTGAAGCCGTCCTAGGCTGAAGAAAAGGAGATTTTGACAACGGGTCCAGGTGGCCATCGAGTCGAAAGTGCTGAGCGCGGGTTGGTTGTGAAGGTAAAAAAAGAGAAAGAAAACCTAGGAAGCAGTCCTAGCAGCTTTCTTTATTCGGCGGCGATTCAAATACCCTTCTTGTCTTCCTTAGACTCGCCCCCAACGGGGAACGCATCAACGACTTGCAACGTAGACCTAGGCTGAACGCCCTTCTTGCCAACAAAGGTATCCATGGCCTTGTCTGCACCGCTAACTGTCCTCGCAAGATCCTGGAACCATCCCGGCAAGATCGACACCAACGGCACAAAGTTTACATAGAACGGCATCATGATCTGGTTATGGGTCCTCCTCTGCTCCATCGACTCGATGATCTCCTTAACAACCTCAAGGGGCTCGAGTGTTGGAGTGATAAACGGCATCCTCTCCTTCACCCCCTGGAACATTCCTGTCTCAATCTTGCCGCAGCAGACCAATGTTGTCCTGACACCTAGAGTCTTGTAGACGTACTTGATTTCAGACTCAAGTGTCTCGTGGAATGCTTTCACTGCCGCCTTTGATGCCGCGTAGTCCGCTATGAGGCGGCGAGGGATTGACATGTATGAGAAATCAACAGTGGATGGCATTTACACACTCTAATTTTTTTTTTTAAATCACTATACAAAATAACCAGAGACAACGTACCGATTAGTGGTGCAGTCATTATGCCCATTGCGGACGAAACTGTAATCTATAGATGGTGTCCGAGGTGCGAAGCGAAAACACGCGATTAATTAGTATGGCAGACCTTCAATCCTCGCTCCCACAAGGAAAATACACTCGCACAAAGAGAGAGAGAGAGAGAGAGAGAGAGGGAGAGAGGGAGAGAGAGAGAGGGAGAGAAAGAAAGAGAGAGAGCCTCAACGAGATGATAAGGATATCCTATTATCGTACGATGTGTCCATGGTTGTTCTTGATCATATCCGGCAAAAATTCCTTGATGGTAAATGCCTGTCCCAGATAGTTGACATTGATCGTCCGCTTGATATCCTCGATCGACAGGTCCATGATCGATCGTCCGCTGACGATTCCAGCATTGTTGATCAAGATCGTTGGTTCGCCCACGTCCTCCCTGATCTCGTTGGCGACTCGTGCAATGTCCTCTGGGTCTGACACGTCGCAGATATAGCTCTCGATGTCCACTACGAGGTACGGATAGTAGTTAGTAGTAGTAATGAAAGAGTTAGCTTTGCCATTAATCTGGTTCTAAATGAGATATTACAGGTGGAATCATTGGGCCAAGTAAACACAGGCGCAGGACAGGAAGCGAAAGCTTACGAGCAGTCTTGACGGGATGTACATCGAGGACAACGACGGTGATATGGCGGATGGCCAGCATTTCAGCAAGGAGATACCCAATTCCACTGGCGCCTAGCGATCACCAATTTTTTTGATACAGAATCGGCAAGGTGGTCAGTTCTATGTTTGTTTTAACGTCACCCTGGCACATTCACTTATCCCGGGTCAGGTACACAAAACAAGACCGTTTTGTTTTCTTCTTACCTCCAGTGATAAGAACAACCTCGTCCTCCCAGTCGACCTTCCCGTCTCTGCGCTGACTACGCTCGTGCAGCCAGAGTGCGATCTTGACTACAAAAAGGAGCACGCCGTAGAACGCCGCCATCAGGAAGGCTGAACTCTCGTTGGTGAAACCATACATCTTGATGAGGGGGATGAGAAAGAAGGGGAACGACACATGGAAAACAGATGCATGGAGCATATGCAGCACAAAGTCGAGGGTGTTCCTGTTAACCATTGTTGGCGATGTGTAAGTGCGTCTGCGTGGATGTTTTGTCTGAAAGGAAAAAGAGAATTGGAAAATCAAGAACGACGAAAGTGAGACGCAAAATGAAATTTGGTACATAAATTTGAATGTATTAGAACCGCTTGTGAGTTGAGAGCAGGACAAACGCTGTGGCTCCGACGAAATACAACGCGCACACAGTAGTCCATATCACATCCCAGCGATTAGCACCATGGCCATCCAACAGGAACCCTACAAAGTATATGCCAACAATGGCCGGTAACGATCCTGCTGTGTTCCCAAGCGAGAAGATGAACCCAGCGTGTTCTGGACAAAAGTCGTGCTAAATCCAGTCATTGACACAGTTGTTGACAAGTGTTTATTATTACCACCCTTCGTTAGTAATCGATCAACAATCGACATGAATAACTTCTTTACAATATCGACAATGATATTTACCTGATAAACGGAGGCCCCGATCATGGTAAAGCCATTGAGCGCCATCCCGATGGTCACCAAGATCATAGCCATCGTTGCCGTACGTGCAAACTTGACTGCCAAAAGCAAGAATATACCCAGCCCAAAGCTGCCTACGGACTGACCTACACGTCTAACCATTAACGGAGACCAATTCCAATCTTGAATCGCTTTGTCACCTAGATATCCCGCAAAAAGGCCCATCGCGCCCTGGATCGCCGATGGGAGGACTATGATACATATGTTTAGTATATTGTTCATTCACAACTTTGGACGAAAATGGTACTCCAAGACAGAGTATACACAAATATGGATAAAATGTACCAGTGAAATATCCTATCTTTCCGACGTCAACGCCGTAAAAATCGAGGTAGAACGTTGGAATCCACGACTGTATCACAAAGAACCCAAGTGAGTTGCATAACTAAGTAAGAAAGTGGAATTGATTATCAAGATTACGTGAGGAAACGGCAAGGCGGACGAAATTACACAAACAAGGTAAGTGGAATGAAACTGTAAGTACCTGGGAGATGATGATGGCCCAGACTTCTCTTCTCTTCAGGAGCTGCTTCCACGGCACCGGCGCCTTTGGCGTGTTAGTGTGTACTGACCGATCTACTCTTTTTCTGTTCCGAAAGGCGAGCCACATATTCATCGATTTTGACGACTCGTCCTCAGTATTACACAATGGGTTTTCAGAGAGGATCCTCGCCGGAGTATCCACAAATCGCTCAACTCCTTCCCTCGGCGATTCATCTGATCTTGTTCTCAAGACTGATTCGTCGCTACCTTCTGAGTGACGCGAGGTGGTTTGTTCTAGTGGGATGGAGGACAAAGGCCTGTAGAGAATAGGTTCGCCGTTGGAGCTGATGGTCCGTATCTGCTCGTTCTCATCCTCCAATTGCCCTCCAGAAACGTGATCAGCTTGGTTGGCTGTGTCTGGAAGGCGGTGAAGTGCTTCTTGATCCTGCCCCTGAATATGGTTCAATCTCTTTTGCTGTGAGATCCAACGTGCTTCTTTTTCCGAAATCAATGTTGAGGACGATGGATCGCTGGCTCCGAATATCTACTCATGGTTGTTCAGAGAGAGAGAGAGAGTGAGATGTGTGCGAAACGACGCGATTCTACTGTAGTGGCGAGATAGGACAATATAAATTGCATCAATGTGATCAAGCAAACGAGCTTCACACCGCAAGTACCTGCCAGGCGATGCTCCAAAGCAGGCCCAGTATTCCAAACAGCCAAAAGATACTCCGCCAGCCCCATGACGACACCACCAGAGCGGAGGAGGTCGGGAGTGCAATCACTGACCCCAAATAGGCAAATGCTGTCACTGACGCCACCGCCTTGGATTGTTCGCAGGGTGGAATCCATGTCCCTATCATGGAGTGAATGGCTGGATAAGCAACACCTATTATCGGATTGCAGTGACGAGGTTTAACAAAAAGAGAGTCGAGGTTAAGTTATGATCCTCTTGCTACATCACGGCGCATGGAATTTATACCTCTTGTTTCGAGCATGATGAATTCAGGAGGAGCTGACACTCTGCTACTGTACCTTCGCCTAGTCCGAGTCCAATGCGGGCAATGACCAACCAAGTAAGACCCGTAGCTGCAGCCAACGGTGTGCAGACCGTAAATACTGTCCAAACAAGGGCACCTAACAATATTGGTAACAAGAAGCCAGTTTATCGGTTAGGAATACATACAGCTTGTCGGGGGAGGGGGAGGGGGGGTTACTGTCTTTTTAACTAGTTACTTACCCGTGGCGAGGACAGCCTTGCCTCCGTAGCGATCAGAGAGAGTGCCTCCAAGAATAGGTGTAACGATGTACCCAAAGAAAAAAGAGGCCAGGATGATACCCTGCTGGGCCTTATTGTAACCAAACTCGGCCCCTATCGCTACAATGGCCACGGCCATGTTTGAACGATCTGATTGCAATTGCCGAAAAGATAGAGGCAAAGGGTTAATCGCGCTGTTTCGTTAATGAAACCCAAAGGGTCCTTTACATCGTTTGTCGCTTGTACGTCACCAGCGTATGAGATCATGAGTCCAACACCGCTTATAATCAGGATCCAGTAGCGCATGGGGAATCTGATGCAGCGTAGTGTCGTGGCGGTGGCTGTAGTGGAACCATGTCGTGTAGATGGGACGCTCATCGAGTCGTGTTTGTTGATGAGAAGGACCAAGGAACGTCATAGTGAAAGGAATTTACATATGGTATTTTTGCCCCTTGCAAATTGGCCCCTTGCAAATTGGCCCCTTGACTCGCTTCCTCGTCCCTTGAAGGATATTCCAGCAGCTGTCGCGTAGTTTTTCCCTAAACACAAAACGCCTCTTGTTCACAACGAGGAGAGGATTAGCTGAATGCAAAGTACAATGCTCGACTTGGTGATGCCTGCGTACCTGTGCTCTCATCTCTCAACGCCACGGGTAAACTCATGCGTGATATTGTGATTCTATGCCCTGCCACAACGCAAATACCCCCCAAAAAAGATGCCCATTGTCCGAGACTGACGGGGCAATGGGCAAGGTCGTGAAAAATGGAGAAGGTGGACATGTTCTCACAAAGGTACAAAGCTAAGAATAGATGCAATAGTTTGTCTTTCCTCGGACAACAAACCTGGATATTGTTCCAGGAACACGCCTTTGTTTTGTGTTTATTCAACGAATTACATTTACAGCGGAACAAAAAATGCAAAGCACAAGATGGCGATTGACAAGTACGTGTGTGTAATGCTGTGGACGAATATCCATAAAACGGCGCTACCAGGTATTGTATCCAGGGCGATCAAGTTCAGCCTGTCGCTCACTCCTGTGCCTGAACCGAGTGAGTGAAGACATTGATGAGTGGGCCATACGGTTTTGCCAATGGTCGGCGGAGAGTCTATGAACGAAAACAAAAGCACAACGACAGTGATATTGAACATCCACAACTTGATGTATATGTGAGTTGAGTCCTTGTATTTCGCCACAACAGCAACAATGTTTATTTCTTCTCTGCTTGTTTGCAGTTTCTTGTCTTGTACGATGAAAACATGCTCTCACCCCCTTACTCCAAATTGAGAAGGGACGAGGACAGCTGGATTCGAGAGCAGCAAACGGGTAAAATAGGCAAGAAGGCTGGAGCACAAACAGAGACAGTTTGTCGCTCGAAGAGGAAACCATCGCTGGGTGGTTGGACAGATATCAATCCAAAATTAATAATACCGACCATGACGAACAACTGTCGGAGCAAAAACGTTTGCTCTATGCTTTGATTGCTTTGATTGCTTTGATTGCTTTGATTGCTTTGTTTGCTTTGTTTGCTTTGCTTCGACACTTGGATTTTTGTTGCTATCACTCATGTTCGTCACAGAGGACAAACACCGAAGTTGAGTAGTGCTCTATGACGGGGGCATTCGAGGGATTGGGCAATGGAACTTTTACCATGGGGTCATCATAAAAAGTCGACAGATAATAAGATAACCGACTTGAACAGGAAGTCGAGCATTCATTCGAATCGATGCTAAAGTCAGAGATCGCTCTTCTCTTCGTTGTTCAATGTCGATCGAGGCCAAATGCCTCCTTATTCCTTCTTTGCTCGCCTGCCTCATCCATTCATCTTTGCACCATAGTTGTTACCTATCCAAACAAGGCGTCGGACCTCCATTACTGGAGCGCAATCACTCACTGAACCTCTTCAAGCGTTGTTTATGGAGGCGCAAGCCCGGGCATATATAAATGTGCCTCGTGGGGTTGTTGCCCAGGGATGGATGTCATACCCAGGGATGGATGTCACTGCAACACCTGTCCAAGAGTTAACCTCGGGAATCAAAGCTGGTAAACCCCAGGGCATTGTTGTTGTGCCATGACCGAGGGGCTAATGTTTCTGCGACATTCAAAATAGACTCGTTTCTGTCTGTCTCCCCTGTCTCGTGGAGCATGCCCGGCACTCACTAGTTTGTTTTTGAGGATCTCCCGGGCAAAAGTCGAGACCCAATGAATGAGTGAATATTCTTTCTCCGTAATCAACCCCGCCTATTATTATCCAGAGTGAATGTGCCCCTGTCCATTCATTCACGTCCTGTCCTTCCATTCACGCCCTGCTCCAGAGAGAATAGCGATACAATTTCCCCTTTGTACACTTCCGCAGATGGTAACAGTCCAGCTGCCACATTGCCTATTTAAAGCGGCATGGATCCGGCTGGACAACCTCGCATCCCTTCCTTTTCTCTTTTACTCTTCTCTTCTTCCTATCCCGTCACCCCTCTCCATCTTTTTTTATCTTCTCTTTACGAATTACAGCCTTCTCAATTGAACACTTGTTGAATTGCCCCTCCTAGACAACTCTCTAACGCCCACTGCCACTGCATTTAAAAGCACACCTTCCTCACTATCCTTTATCTTCTTTCCTCAACTCTCCCTCAATCCCTCTATCCACAATGGTCAAATTCTTTGCCTCTTCTCTCACTGTCCTCGTCTTGACCTTGGCCGCTGTCCAGGCGCAGACTACTATCGACATCAGCAAGTACCCCACAATCAACCAAATCCCCCCTATCAACTCACCCGAGGTCCAGGCTTGGCTTAAGGAGCTTGGTGACCTCTCTGGAGCCCCCAGCATCCCTCTTCATAAGGGTGAGCCTCCATCATGCCCTAACCCCCCTATCCCCAACGAGTAAGTCCTTGAAGCTATCGCCTTTTTTTTTCCTTTACAGCTCTGCCATTTGGGGCGGACCAACTCGAGCAACTCCTTTATTTGTCTCGATGCTTTAAAAAAGGTTTTTTCAAGAATGTCAGTAATAAACCGGTTGTTCCTAATTTCTAATCCATGCCTTGTCCTGCTTTGCACTTTGCACACACCTCCTTTACAACAATAGGTGTTACTGGACTTGTGATGGATGCGCCGCTGACGATATTACTGCCTGCGCTGCCCCCAACACCTGGGGTTTGACCTTTGACGATGGTCCCTCCACTGCCACACCTACCCTATTGAACTATTTGAAGACCAATAAGCATTCTGCCACCTTCTTCTTGATTGGTTCCAATGTCATCCAGTACCCTGATACTGTCAAGCGCGAGGTTACCGAGGGTCACCACTTGGCCTCCCACACCTGGTCCCACCACGCCCTCACCACCTTGTCCAATGAGCAGATCGTTGCCGAGATGAAATGGACTGAGAAGGCCGTCATGGAGGCCACCGGTCTCCGCCTGAAGTACATGCGTCCTCCCTATGGTGATATCAACAACCGTGTCCGCTATGTCCTCAAGAAGCTCGGTTATATCCCTGTTGACTGGACCGGCGATGCTTTTGACACCAACGACTGGCAGATGCCCACCATGGCCGAAGCCAAGGTCATTGCCACCTTTACAAAGTCCCTCGATGCCTACGTTGCTTCCAACAAGACCAAGGGTTTCTACTGCCTCGAGCACGACCTCAACGACCTCACTGTCGGCGTTGCTCAAAAATTGATTCCTCTTGGTACTGCTCGCAAGATCAACATTGCCTCGGTCGCCCAGTGTGAGGGTGATGCCCAACCCTACCAGCTCGGTGGTACTGCTCCTATGCCCTCGGTCTCGGGCGTTACCCCTTCGGTCACTGCCACCTCTGCTGGCTCTGTTACTCCTACCGGCTCTTCCACCGTCGGCACCCCCACCGTCGCCAAGCCTAACAATGCCAACGTTCAGTCTGTTGGTGCGCTCTCTGTTGCCGCTGCTGCCCTTGCTGCCGCTGTTATCTTTGCATAGACCATAGAACCTTAGTACTCAACTACTCGTATCTTTAAAGAAAAAGGGTTTAATTACCATAATGCTTATTGCACTCACAGCACAACGTCGTCCAAAACACATAGAGATGAATGTGTTTATTTTATGGTGTACATCTAGTAGCCCATGACGGCTGAGCTGCGAGCACTGGCTCCCCCGGTAGCGGCATGGACAGGCACGTGTCGTGCTGGGATGGCGCTGGTCGGGATCTGCTGGTACGAGTACATAGGCGTCGTGTACCCAATGAGTTGAGGAGTCAATGGAGGGGTCATTACTAGCTGGGGCATCATTGTCGGTTGTTGAGGACCCACCCCCATCCCCATGACGCTCAGTGGACTCATATTCATTCCCACACCCAAGCCCATCGCTGTGGTCAGTACAGGGGCTGCTGGTAATGCAAAATGCAAGGGGACGCCGTGGTTGACCATTGAATGCTGCTGCTGCTGCTGTTTTTGAGGAGAGGCAACACCCCCTGTCGCAATGTCGGGTGTCAAAGGAGAAATGGTCGTTGTTGTAGTCGAGGCCGTCACTGCTGCTCGGGCTTGCTCCAATTGCAGCTGCAGCTGTTGTTGTTGTTGAAACAAGAGTTGCTGCTGCTGCATGCGAATCTGCTGCAACTGTTCTATCTGCTGCTGCTGGCTCTGTTGCTGTTGCTGATGTTGTTGCGCGCTCTGGCTCTGCAACAGTGCTAATGGAGACACTTGACAGTTCGGTGATTGCTGTTGAACGTGTTGTTGTTGCTGTAAATTGTGGAGCTGTTGCTGCTGAATCTGAAGCTGTACTTGTTGTTGCTGATATTGTTGATGCTGCATGGCCACCGAGAGCTCATGGGTATAGCCTAAGGCCGATCCAGTCGCTCCAATTACTGGACTTGGGAAAGGAGAGACGTGGGCGGTTGACTGGACAACGGAATACGGTTTCTGCTGTGGCGAAATATTAAAATAACTAGAGCCAGAATGACGTCTGGAGGTAGGACGATGTCTTCCTTGGCTTCCTGACTGGGGTCCTTGAGGGGTAAGTTGGGGCGAGGGTTGTTGGACCTGCTGATAGTTCTGGAGCTGTCGGAACAGTTGTTGTTGTTGCTGCTGCTGCTGTGACTTGATGGAAGAAATTGCTGCCGCGTTAAGAAGGTTGCCATGGCTGCTCGAGTACGTGCCATTGGCTTCTGATATGTAGGAGTTATGGGCGGTCTGGATTTGATTGCTTGAAAGGCGCCGCGAGTGAGATTCGGTCGGGAGGGGTCCAGGGGTACCAGGATTCGGCGCACCCAATGGATGAGTGGGATGTGGTCCTGCCATAGGACTAGCATGAGGTCCACTCGAGCCTCTCCGAGACGCTGGTCCTCGCATCTCACGGTCTCGAGCGTTAGGCAGAAGTGACTCCATTAACAAGGGTGAGCTGTGGAATTGAGGCTGGACGAAAGGCTGGGGCGTCGTCAGGGTCGGCACATGAGGCAAAGACTGGTGGGGCACTCCTCCCAGTCGAAGGTTGGTCTGATAGTCCTTTCGATGTTGCTGGACAAGATTTGTCAAGGCTGGATCCAAGTTGGCATCGCGTGAATACGAGTCTCTCCTCGCATTTGGAGCCTGAAAGCAAACAGTGGATTTCTCTCGATCGATTCTCGACACAAGGGTCTCTGAGACAATCAAAGGCGTGCTGCTCCGTCTTGGGGGTGTGGTTCTAGAAGCTGATGGGATCATCGAAGACGCGTCGTTCACAGTGCTCCTTCGGACCCTGAGGTGTTCATCCATGGGTGTTGTTGAGCGCGGAGAGCTGCCGTGGGTGTTATTAGGATTGTCTCGAGAGTGGGATGATGTGGCGGCGGCGGGAAGGACAGGAGACCCTGACGGTGTGAATCGCGGGTCTTGGCCATACGGACGATAGGGTAGTTGGTCGAAGTCCAAGTCTTCAACTCCAGACATCGAAGAGCGATTGCTGTGATTAATAGGGTTTGTGCCTGATGGCGATCGCTGCCGCTGGAGGGGGTGGTGAGACGATGTCGGCGTTGTAGGAGTCGAAGGTGCCGATGGTCCGGTCGAGGCCGAGTAACGTCGATGGTTGCCTACATCGATGGTATTTAATGAAGTCTCTCTTATCGCTGTTCTCCGAGTATGTTGGGTATGTTGGGTATGTTGGACGCCGTGCCCTCCACTGGTGTAGGCGTATTCTGGGTTAGGGTGGGATTGTTGTTGGTGAATAGACATGTTGGACGGATGAAGCTCTTGCTTCAGCACGTCGTTGATGATCTCGATTGAAGACAGCTTGTTCTGGTAAGGAGACCCTTCTACGTCAGATGTCGATGCAATCGCCTCGTTCGTCAATATATGAGATGACTTCTTGGAGTTTTTGGACCCTCCACCAAATATACGCGATATCCTCTTGGCCAGGGTCACTATTAAGCGACCAAAAGAGCGACATTTAGCATTCGTATTTCATATGAAGGATCTCCACCGCAGACTCTAAAGTTATAAGATCACCTACATTTTACAGAGAGGGTCTTGGCTCTGGTCGTGTCAACAGATTCTTGCGACTGGACTGGTGTAAGAGACCTTGCAGCGGTCTGGTCCATGTCCAATCTTGAAATTGCTATTCGCAAGTGAACAGGGTCCCCGCAATTATTCAAGAGCATTAAATGTCAGCAAGGTGGTCAATCTCGACTTTGGATGTGTTGTTCTCTTAAGCAGGCAGCAGGAGACGCGTATGCAGTGGATGCAGCAAAAGGAGGGGCAAAAGTTCTATCAAAAAATAACGACCCACACGTGCCGTGTGTGTGTGTTTGAAACCAAGAGTTGCACAGGACATACCTCGTAAACTTTCTGCAGCGCTGTTTAACTCAACAGCTGGGCCAGACATGTACGTGTGTTGGTGAGATGACTGGAGGGCCAAAGGCTCGTCATCGCTGTCTTCTGAATCGGAAGGAGAATATTGTTTCGAAAGCTTGGACCTATATGCGGGTTGTCTTGGAGGCTGGGCACGAACAGGGTTATCTATGCCAAGCGAAAGTTGTTAAAAAAATGTATGCAAGCTTAAGTTCTGCCATGAGTTGAATATTCGCCTGCTTAAGTCTTTTTGAGAAAAGGCGATTTACCTGTCAGAGTGTACCGGACAAGCGCAGGAAAGGCTTCATTGGTGGAGGTTCTTGAGCTGGTGCTTGAGGATGAGCTGGAAGAACTTTGGCTCGAGTGCTGTGAGCTTTCAGACGATGACGGTCCATGAGAAGAGAATGCGGCCTGGGATCGAGGACGACCGGCTCTCTGGGTCAAGGAGGAAGTCATTGACTGGAGACTCTGGGGGGGATTTGTGTTCGGCTGCTGTTGCGTCAGATATTGGTTGTATTCGCTGTTAGGGTCGTTGATGGATAAGCGATTGTCGCTGCGCTTGTTAACGGGGAAAGTTGAGGCCATTCGAGATGGTGAAAAGTGAAAAATCTGGAAGAGTAAGGCGACAGTGGTAGTTGTAAGAAATGAAAACGAGACTTATATATGAGGTGAAGGTGCACGGATGACTCGTGTCTATAGTGACAATGCAAAAACAGTGGCGATGGGATGGAAAGAAGGGGAAAGAGAATTGAAGGACAGAGAGGAAGGAGAAGGAGAAGACGAAGAAAAAGGAAAGGTGTACAATTAGGGTATAAGTGTATCATCCAGGAAGGACAAACCGAGGCTACTAAGGACGGAGAGGACAAACAGAAAGAGAACAGAGGGAGAGGGCGAAGCGATTGCAAAGGCGAGATAGCTAACTTTGTCGTCCCTTCCTAAAAATCCGAGCAAGGAAGGAATGGTAATGTTAGTATTAGGTGAATGAAAGCGAGTCTGGTTTCGTTGGAACGAAAGCAAAATCATAATCCAGTTGCAGTTGCACACAGCGATGGAGAGACGTAGAAAAAAAACACGCCGTGATAAAGGTAGGAGGAAAGAAAGGACCGGTGAAGGAAGACACATATTGTCCGTGCTGACATCTCGCTCTTTGACAAAAGGATGACGTGACGATATATGCGGTTAAGTGAGTAGAGTAGAGAGGGTAAGATAGTGAAAGAGAGTGAAAGAGAGCAACAAACGCAACTCCCCTCAAAGAGAGCCGGGAGTTAGAACAGGTGCAGGGGCAGGAACAGGAGCAAGGGTACTGAAGGATTGAGAACGTGGGACAGGAATAGGAAGGCGAAGATACAAGGGGGATGAACTGAGCGTGATGATGGAGGATTTAGGCACCATAGCTACCGAGAACAAAGGTCCCGGGACACGCGAGCAACTGGATAGATATCGCATTCGTGTTTGTGGGTTTGTGGATCATGAGGACCAGCAAACAAGTAAATAATTGTTGGAACGAGGATGTAGATGAGAAGAACAGTGGCTCGAGTGCAGTGGACGGCTGACAAATAAATAGACAATGACTATCGACCTCTCCCCCTCCTCATGCAGCCTAAAGAAGAACAGCAATGTTTGCCATTGTCGTTGTTAGAGTTCCATGTTTGTAACTGTTTGTCCCTGGCCACCTTGCCAACCTACTTCTTTTTCTTCTTTTTCTTCTTCTTCTTCTTCTGCATCGTCTTGCCTGCCTGCTTGCTTGGTGACACTGCCGACATTCCGAAGGATGCTCCACCCTGCTGTCAATTTATAAAAGTTCGGTTGATTTGAACGATACTACGTGACGGAGAAGTAGCAAAGGAAGGAAGGGAAGGAGGAGAGGGCAAAACAGGAGAAAGGATCTGGACAATTTCGTATCCATGTCTGCCGACTCTACTATTGCGGCGTGTGTCTGACTGTTTCTCTTTCTTTATTCAGGCAAAGAAGGGTGTTGCCGGTAATAACCATGGAGGTGGGGCAGTGGAGAAGGAGACAGCAGAGAGTAAGGAAGCATGAAGGAGGGCATGAAAATAAGAAGGAAAAAAAGAGAAGGCATAGGTAGAGTGCCGTCAGATTCCATGTCCCTTATCCTTATCCTAAAACTCCTCACCCATCTAGCTTTCAATCCCTCTTGTTGTTGCTGCAGCAGCATTGGCATTGCAATAAAAGACAGAGCCGAAGCAAAAGAAAGGAAGGTGTCAGCACAAAGCGTACGATGGTTTTCAACCCTAAAGAGGCGACAACCTTAGACCAAGCGACTCTCACGCAGGAGAGCCGGGCGCAAGAACCAATGACAATAACGACCACAGTTGTTGGGTTTGCCGATCAATAGTCAGGGCAATGTGCGTTAACCAGGGACGGACCCATCCAAGTCGCATCCCTTCTCAATTTTTTGCACATTCTCAAACACGATCAAGATGTCTCCATCGGATATTACTGGGCGCCATTGGGTACCATCGGAGGCCACTGGATCGGTGGGAGTAGTTTCGATGAGGGAGGGATAGGGAGGATAATTCTCACAGCGCCCATTTTCCCATGCTGTGGTTACCGACTTATCGAATGTAATAATAAAATGGAGAGCGTGCGAGCAGAGTGGGATGTGAGCAATCATATCCGTCTTTTTTTCTTTCTCTTTTGTGATGACCCAGGAGCGCTGGAAAAAAAAGTTGGACAAAACAGAGAACGAAAAAGAACGTAAACAAGGGGAGCATATCATCTTACCGGTCGTTTTGCGAACGAATGAGAAATATGTAGTTGTGTGCTCTGGTTGATGGAGGCGCGGAGATGGTGTAGGGATCGATGTGAAATGAATCGCGAGATGAGGAACTGCGAAATGATGGAGGACAAGAGCTTTTTATGTGTACTACGTTGCAGCTAGATGATGTATGTGATGATGTGGGGTGTAGGAAGGGGAAAGAGGAAGTGTAGGACAAAAGGAGGGAAGAAACAGAAAAAAGAAACTGGACGAAGAGGAAAGGATGAAGATAGCGAGACAGCGGTCAATTGCTCAGGGAAAGGGGGGAGGAAGCGAGACAAGGGACGAAGAGGAGAGAAAAGAGAAAAAGAGCAGACAAACTGGGGCATGCGCCCTCGCGGAGATACTCTTTTCTTATTTTTCTTGCTACTGCATGCTGGCACAATATTGATCCATCCAACCTTCTCGCCACTGTGATTTTCGGCGCCCTTCGAGGACATATCTTATCCGATCCGCTTACTTGCAGCAATGAAGGGGCAACTCGGGAAGCTTTTGGAGGCCTTCTCCCCGACCAGCCTATCCCGTTTCCCGTCAATTCCGACAACAGCTCCATGGCAGAAACACGCATTTGGCATGGCGGCGATTCATTTTCCTTTCCTTGCTTCCTTCCTTCCCTCTTCTCCTTTCTTCTGGCTAACCCATTTGAACATCGAGCCGTTGCATTTGCCGAAATATCTTGCTTTGCCAGTGGAGGAGATGCCTTCCGGCGCCTGATCATGTCCACAACCACGCATACACCGGCTGTTTCACATCACAACATTACAAACATGTTCACGCGCTGGTGCTGCTCTTTAATAACAACCCATTTTTATTAAATTTTTCTTCGCCGTTGGAAGTAAAGGGAGGTGAAGATGCTTTCAAATAGAGCTCTCGTGGTCTCCCACCTGGAACCGAACCATTTCGCTCCAAGGCTAACGTCGAGATGGTTTTGCCAACTATGCTGAGAGCACCCATTATGCCCGAGGAACGGAATGACATACCATGTCTCGAGCCAACAACGAAATGACCAAACGCATTCAAAAAGTACTCTACGGCTGCACATTTTCACGGTAAACAATGGGTCGAGCTATTCAAAGCAAAAAGAGATGTGGCTCATTTCAACCTTGGTAATCAGTCAAGGCAATGGATGAACATGCAAGTTAGACTCTTGCGATTAAGAGGGGATCGTCGGAAGTGCAGGCACGCCAAACGAGGGTGAAGAAGAAATAGGGTTGCTCTGCTGCTCTTCCTATTGCTGTTTCTTTGGTGTCTTCCCAGTTTAGGCTGCTCGTCATCTCTCTCGCTGATATCCTCCTTCGGTTCTGTACTATGATGTCGAAGTTTTTCCACTGTGGTAGTTTGTCCTCGAAAACTGCTCTTGTTAGTATGTATGTGGAGAGAGGGGAGAGAGAATTGGAGGAAGAAAGAAAAATAAGGGATGAGGGTCATAGTCACGAATACGGAACGGGTACTACGGATTACCACGGACACCAGGGATTCAAACAACAGTGGCAAAATAAAGAACATTTTGCATTGTTTGTCCAATGCAAGCCTACGTATGTGCAGTCGATATCACTCACCCTCTCTCAACATATCGGTGAGCTGCCACAGGGTCAAGAGTCCGCACAAATCACCAAGAAAGGAGAGAACTGACATACTTCCATCTTGCACCAGAAATAACAATGGAAGGCACTTTTCCTTTCTTCCTCTCTTTCTCTCCCTCCTTTTCACAAACCCCCCACAACCCCTCCTCACCGCCGTGCAGGTCCACGCCGATCGATCCCTCCCCTCGCTTTGTCTCTTCGGCACCGAAAGAAACAGAAAACCATGATCGATCAGAAATCATCCTCAACTCAAAATCACCACCAGCAGGACCCACGGTCAGCCTCGTCAGCCTCTCTCCTTCCACCACCCCCACTGCACTCAAACAGGACCAGCATCGACAGCATCGACAGCTTCATCAATGACACTAACTATAGCCTCAGTCATAGCCATCCTCCTCCTGTCAAAGCTCGCTCCCCTCTCTCCAACCTTGGCGACCACATTGTCAAGGTTGCTCGTCGACTGTCCATGACCTCTTCACCCAAGGACAACAAAGACAACAGCTACAATATTCCACCTCCGCCTTCGCTCTTGCTCCGTTCAGGAACAACGTCCCCGGACCTCTATCGCAAACGTAATTCCACGCTAGAAGACCTCCAACAAGCAACGTCGCGTTCGAACAACGACAACAAGAATAAAGAGAGCAAGGTCAAGAACAAGAAGCTCTTGGTCAAGACAGATCTGTTTAACCTACGTTCCAAGAGCAGCAGCAACAACAACAACAACAACAACAACAACAACAAGAACAACAACAGCAACAGCCCATCTCAAGTCAGTCTGACCGTGGCCACGCTTGAAATGTTGCTGCCAGGATCATCGCCTCCGCCGACGCCTCCAAGTAAAGAAACGTTCTGGAAGTCCATGGGGATGTTTGGTCGACAGGCTATCTTCACTGAGAACGACGACAGGCTTGTCCCCCAACAAAACAGCATTGTCCCAGCTCCTTCCCCCCCTATCCCTGCTGCCCCTGCATCGAGGCTGGCCCTTCGACAGGCGGTGTCACAAGAGCAACATAAACAAGAGCAGCAGCAGCAACAACAGCAGCAAGCTCGTCGTCAGGGGTCAGAAGGTCACACGGACACAGACAACCCTATACACGACAGAGAGGACGCGTACTCGGTCAAGCACCATCCTGCAAAGTCGCAGCAATTTTTTAATTCCGCATTACCTCTTCCATCACCATTTCCATCAGCTCAGCCAAGGAACTTAGTGGACCAGGCCTGGCCCCATGACATCATACAGCTTCCTCCTCGTCCGCCCCCACCACCGCAACAGCAAAAGCAAAAACAAACAACGGGATTCACAAGTACGATGGACACCGACCTCTCTCAACCGAGTATCAGCAATGATATGCAGGACAGCAATGATATGCAGGACAGCAGCTCCAGTATCGGCAGTGATCACAGTCTTGTCATGGAGGACGTCTTTGAATTCTGCGACAACGTCTCGGCTAATAAATCGTGTGACAACACTTCACGGCTGTCCTCGATGAGGGACGACTCTACAGCGAACACAACCACAACTGCAGCTTCAACCCAGCAGCGGAGAGAGCCTTCAGAGGACTGGACAATCGATCGATACCACCGTCAACAGCAACAACAACAGCAGCAGTCGTTAGGTGCACCAGAGCAACATCAACGACCACCCGCCCCCAAACTGTCCGACAAGAAGCCGCTGAGCGCTCTCGAGAGGATCAAGCGGCAACAGAAGCGCCATTCGCAGGAGCAGGAGCGCCTTGCAGAGTTAGCCCTGCCACAAGAATTAATGACCCAACCCAGCATGGGCGCTGTTGGATATGTAGGCTCAGGAGAAAATTACGTTTCGCCCGTGCGAGCCGTTCATCACGACCTTGTACCCAATCAGTCCTTTCATCCCCTTGCAACCACCTCTCAAGCGTCACCCCTCCCAATATTTCAACACCACCACCAACAGCAACAACAACGTCAACAAGCTCAAGGTAGTGGACAAGGTGGAGGTGGGATGGCACCAACTGACCTAGGAGCGTCTATTATCGGTACCGACTCTGCCATGCTTGACCAGCTTCTGACACTGATCCCAGGACCTAACCGACCCCGCCTTCCTTCTCAGATTGAGTGGCAGCAAGGGATCGAAGAACTTCGACAGCGGCGCAATTATGCAGGAACGCTAACAAATTCGGTTGGGCGTCAAAACTCCAGTGGCAGCCGTCATAGTCAGGACTCCAGCACAGATAGGAGTCGGCGTCATTCGATGCCAGATATGCCGCATGGACAGAGCCAAGAGGGCCAGGAAAGACGATCTGGAGATAACTTTCGAAACCCGATGCTCATGGCCAGCAGCAGCACTTCTCCCTCATCGCCTACTATTTTAAACCCCAACGCTCAAATGAGACGATCGGTCGTTGGAGACCGAGAACAGCAATTGCTTCAGCTGCCGATCCAACGACACTCGATTGCAGAAACACAGGCTATTGATATCTCGATGATCTCTTCTACGGCTCTTGCAGACTCGAAAAGGGTGACTCGGAAACGCGCAGGAAAGAGAACGTCTGCTTTAGACAACGTTCAAGAACAAGAAGCCCCTGTGGCTAGGTCTTCCAACACAACGGTCAGCAAGGTGGACAAAGATGTTGTGAACATTGCCTTTAGCGAGATGCTGGTAAGAAAAAATCTTTTCTACCCACGAATGAGTCCTTGTGGGGCATATCAGACTGATACATTCGTCTGGCTTCTCTCTCGATTACCTTAGGCGACACTCTCACTGGCCCCGACTACCATTAGTCAACTGGAGTCATTACCTACAAACCGGAAGTGGGTGATGCTTCAATCCAATGACGCGAGCCCGTCCTTGCCACAGGCCATACCTCCGCAGGTCATTGTTGACCTACTACTGGAATACTCGAACAAGAAGAGGCGATCGTCCCGAGACCAGTTCGCGTTTAACCTTGCAGCTGTGACAGCCACTGTAACTGCGGCAGATTCGACTCCCAAACGACCCATGGGGATGTGGAGAAACTTCAGCGCCACCGATATCACAAGTAACAGCAATACTGTGTCTGCACCGAGCGACACAATTCATTCTGGATTAATACCTCCGCTCCAACCAACTTTTCAACGACATCTTTCATCTTTACTTGGGAAGAGCGACACACGTGCATTGGAAGACAAGGAACATGTTCTGAGGAGCCTGCGAGTGATGATTAGGAATGGATCGCTCCGATGGACGAGCGAGTTCATCAACATTGGAGGACCACTGGCGGTACTTCAGCTCTGTCAACACGTTCAGAGGACAGAGGAAACGTAAGTTACTCGGTAGCAGTATTTGTATTGCTTGCTATGAATGGATGTTACTCTAACATTTTATCACGTCCGTCGCATCGTATAGAAAATTGGGTCAACGGAGGCGCCTTCTTCATCAGATTATTCAGTGCATCAAAGCGATCGTGACTCTCGACGGAGGTGTAGCGTCGTTGACAACTGAACCCATTTTTTTCTCGCTCATGAGGACCCTGGCCATCCAAGAGACACCGGCATTATCGGCCACAACCAAGGACTTCGCGCAAGGATCAAAGGTCAAATCAGGGGGACTCTTTGGCATTGTTCGCGGTGGGGCTTTCGAGGTACGCGGACAGCGATACCGATCCTCATCTATTCTTAAACCGCATCCACACTCACGTGTCGGTAACCAACCTCCCTTCCAGAGTTCGCCTGCCCTCTCATTAGATCAGATTCCAACATTCTCCAACACACAGGGGGCTGTTCATATATTGAACGCTATCTTGGCAAAAGAGCCTGAGCTCCGAGACAAAGTCTTGCAGGACACGGTGGCGGATCGCATTTCGAGTCTCGCCCAAAGACGGAATAGCGAAAGGACCGCATGGATCTTTTCTGAGTGGATCGGATATTTGAAGGAGGTCATGCACGTCTGCGGTATTGAGGCACCAGTCGCCATGTTACCGACAACACTCCCATACCTTGGCCGTGGAAAAGATGACAACAGTCAAGATCGAGATCGAAAGAGTAGCTCGCCTGCTCGTGTGACCTTGATGGCTGCTGGAATTGTATCCCATGGATGCGGTTCCTCAGGTCCATCGCTCTCGACCTTTTCACTGGAAAAAAATCGATACGGAAGCAGGCACAGTGCCGCTGCTACACCTCAGGCCATCCAAAGCACAGGGAATGTTACGACTGACGGGATCAGATTTGAATCTGGCGAAGATCGAGAGGCCCTCACGTATTTGGTATGAAACAACCATATCGTTTACAAACGTCCATCTGATTTCTTCTCGTTTGTATTTTTTCGTGCTGGGTCGTTCCTATTAACTGACTTTAGCTAACGCTGATTACTATTAGACCGCTCATTTAGAGCTTGTGTCAAGACTCGTCTTTGAGATGCACATGTCTTCACCAGGTCTTGCCTTTGCGAAGAGCATCAAACAAGAGCTAGAGGACTACCTTGAGGTATACATTGCTGAGCTTGTATTTTTGACTTTTGGTAATGTGTATTGGAAAACTAAGTAGCATATTAACTAAGGTTTTCTGCGCGTCGCCTTGTCCTTTAGCGCCTGAGATCAACATTCATTCAAAATCATGATCTGCGTGCCCAAGCTGAGGATCTTGAGATACAGCTTTCAGTAACACCAAGCACTACGCAGATCATGGCGAGTCTTCTGGCAAAGGACCTGCCCACTATTCCCCCTATCGATTCACAGCCGTACTCTCAGCACAGTCGCGGTCAACAAGGATGCCAGCAGCGCCAGAAATTTCCCGCTGCAAGACCTACGTCCCCAACATTTCAGCGGCCGATATCACATCACATTTATCAGCTCAGCCAGCAATCTCCTGTCTTTCAACACCTGCCAGTCCCGAATGTCAAGTGCAACTCTGAAATCGAGCCAAAGACTCTTACTATTGACATTCCTGGTCGAGCCAGTGGTCTCGAAGACGATAACAATCGTCGCAACAATAACAAATCCAGTAGCATCACCGGCACCAGCGGTAGAACCGTCAACGACCAACGTGCGACGAACAATGGGGCCACAAGGATCGACTTAAAGGTTCAACAACGGATGTCGCATCTCCAGTCTCAGCAGTGGCAGCCATCACAGCGCTTTGATATTAATAGAGACAATGGGAAAGCGTTAGTCATGCAGGGCGGTGCTATCAGTCCCGTGCTGGTCAAGCCTCCCAGTCGTCGCAATTCGTTCAAAAAGAAAGTCCCTGACGGAGATCGGTCCAACAACTCCGGGAACTACAACCCTCTCCCGCCATCACAGACCCAGCAGCAGTATCACCAGCAAAACCTAGCTGGACGAGTATCCAGGCAGATCGCTTTCCGAGAGGACGTGACTTCCAATACCTCTGCACCTTGCAGGTCAGCACCACGCTCAACACCCTCGACGTCTGTTCCTCCAACGCCTCTCAGCCCTACCCCTGACTTGCAACTGCCCGACATTCCGTACAAAAGCAAGAATCGACCAAACTCGATGGATGCGAAGGCAAGAAGGCATGACGACATTGGTGTTCGTGATGAAAAAATAATCATCAAGCTTGATTACCCACGCCAGCGACAGCAGGAGCCCAAGTCGCGTCATTTGCAGCATCATCAGTCTCCGTCGGTTATGCCTTTGTCCCCGTCGAGAGCCAATCAGGAATCCAGGCAGAATCCATCCGCGGCCAAGGAGAACGTTCGAGAAGACTTCCAAAAGTTGGTCAATGGAATGGATGTACTCAAAGATGGTCCCGGTACTTTTGGATACGCTCGGCGCCCGTCTATGAATAGCCAGGTGTACCTTCATAGCAATGCATACGACAAGCCATGCAGTGTTACAGAATCAGCAACGATGGCACTTGTCGATAGTCACATGCTGGCTGCACCCCCAGGAAGAGCAGGATCGGCAATGCCAAGCGTCGGTCAAGCCTGCCCAGAGGCTATATTACATGGCGTCTACAATGTCAGTATCAATGGATCAGTGATGTCAACATGTTCTTCGATAACCTCATCTGGCTTCTCAGCTCCTTCAATGTCCTCTGCGTCGTCTGCCTCGCCTCCGACAACTCAGTCCAAGAAGTACTTGCCTCTGTCTCCGCCCCAGCACCAGATGTTGGAGACCCCTTCAAAGCTGCCAAGAAAGACGACTTATTTGTCATTACCATCTACCACCATCATACAACCTACAGCAGCTCCAGTCTTCCCAACGGCCGCATTTTTACCAGAATCATCAACACCTATTCCTCTCAACAACAGAGAGAGTCGCTACAAACCAGGAGCGGACAGCATAACGACGAAGGAAGTGCACCAGTTCCGCAATGTCGATTTCGATAACCAAATCCAAGAGGATGTGCGCAAACTAGCCCCTTCTTCATCGATGCGGTCCGTTTTCACCGTTCACAGTAACAACAATAACAGAGACGACGGTAGAAGCAAGGGCGACTCGGTCACAGCAGGCTCTGCTATGGAGGTTGTGGGTCGATACTCGGTGCTGGCGACAGACCCCAAAGTCCTAGAGGCGCCTATTATTGTCCCTGAGGACATGTCGTTGATGCGAGAGCAGTACATTCAGGCGCAGATTAGCGAATTAGTTGTTCCACCCATGGTACGTAAGGCATAAAGATCACTGGTCGCTAGCCCGTGTGGACTGCTTTTTTCTCTGTTGCTTGTTGTGCCATTGTTTCTTTTCCTTTTTGTCAGCTCTTTCATCGCTACCAACCGTTAACCCTCCGTCCGATCCATTCCAGAGGACACATGCATGCTACATACTCTTCTTGCTCACCATGTCTACTTTAAACTCAACACTCTTGCGCTCAGGATGTCAGCACCTCAGGACGAGTAGATCACAGCCTGCATGGATACTCTTGCGTCAGACTATGCCCTCCAAGTCTGCGGACGCCTCACGGTCGAGGTTTTTAACCACTATAAACACGAGTACCACCGCCTCTGCTTCTACTTCGGATCAACACAACAGCATTACGGCCACTAGATCTTTTACAGGTGCAAAGCCTCCTGTCGCCAGCACGCCTCTCCAGGATGCCTTTAAACACCATGATATTCTACAAGAAGCCAAGAAACGGTGGGGGTTTGATTCGCCCAAGTCGACAAGTTCAGGGCGCATGGTCGGAGTAATCTATCCGAAAGGCCGAGAAGAGATTGCAGATTTGACACACAGGATGGTGCAAGACAGAGTTCTGGGCGGACATACTGGACAACGACAAGTACAGGAGAAACACAGCAACAATGCGTACGGCACTTCAGTGACGACAAAAGCACAAACGACCACTTCTCAATTGAACAAGGCACCAGTCGCAGCGATTTCAACATCACCAAACCCACATTTCCATAAAGCGCCACGAGATGCGGACAGGATAGCGACTGAGGTGCCTCTGTGGAGGAAGCATCGACAGGCGATCAAGGCCAAGACTGGAGGACAAGCATGGAACCCACAGAGAAAGCTCACTCGACAGGCCATGGAAGAGGTCCGATACCTCCGGAAACAGGTATATTTTTCTCTAGTTGCGACTTGTTCCTGAAAGCATGTGGAATGATGACGGTTGTATTTTAGCAACATAACTTATGCCTGCTCCTGTTTATTATTTCTTTCGAAATAACTAGTTCCCAGAAGAATGGACAACAGCAAAACTCGCAGACCATTTCAATGTTGCAGGAGAATCAATCGCCAAGATTCTAAGGACTCACTATCAGCCTACCCCGGAGCGATCAACACAACAGGATGAGGTTCGACAACGGCGCCGCAAGGAAAACATCTCTGCCGATATCGAGAGGATTAGAGCGGAACGTCAGGTCACGTGGACTGCACACAAGACGGAGCGGAAAACTACTTGGCTCAAACAGAAGACCGAACGACGTGCTGCCCAGGTTGCAGAAAAGGCTGAGCTCACATCGCATGCTGAAGGCTCACGGCATCATCAGTTGAACGAGACCATGACTTTGGATGATTACGAACGTATTAAAAACGACCGACACACGGCTTGGCTGGCGCGCCAGGCTGAACGTAAGCGTGCAAATGCCGAATCACCTATCCAGATCAAACTTGGAGCACCCACAAGGAAATAAAGCGGTCGACTATTTTATTCGGACTTGGTTTCCTGTACACCAATCATCTTGGGGGTTGCTGACACACTCTCATAGGACGACAAGCCAGCATCCCCCTTGTCTCCGAGCCTTTCCTTTAAAGTTGCCTTCCTGCAGAAATGAAAAGAAATACAACACTTCCTTTAGTTAGACCTGACAATAACATGCAACGCTTCAGTCAGAGCCGACGAACAAAATTGCAACAGACTGAAAATATCTCAATGCTTACGAGTATCGGTCCATTAGGTACAGCAGCTCTGATCCAGACCCCTGTAGCCTGCTTTCCACAGTTTTCATGCCAGACTCCATGGCAATGACGCCTCCAACCGAAAGTCCTACTAAGTTTCCGGCTGATTGGTAACAGAGATGATTAATATTTGCAACTGGGTGGCAATGTAAAGATACACGGGGATTACCTATTTTAAGACGTACCTGAAGCAAAGGCCAGTGACTGCAGCCGACTCCATGAACGAGATCGCGCTGTGTTCTCAAAAGGTAGCATATCATGTTAGTGTTTTGTGTAAATATTCCGTCTATACATGCCATGCTGCAAGAGTCTTACTCACCATAAAAGAAAGCTGAGGTTCCCAGTGACACCGTTGTAGCGGCAGCTGGATGGATGGTGCACAGTTTAGTTTGCGATATTCATTGATATCATCCATTGGACGGGCAACCCGACGGTGCTTTGTGAAAGTGTACAGTAAGTAGCTCACCGATAAGTGTGTGCTTCGCAATAGTATAGCGAACAGCAACCCATTCTTCTGGGGTGAGTTCGTGTTGCTCCAGCTTCTTGCGGTAGTACTGGGAGATTCGATCCGGGTTCGACATGGTTCGTTTGATTGTTTGTTTGTTGATTATTGAATCAACAAAAGGGGATTTAAAAAAAGTGACTGCACTTGTCGTTGTTGATGCCTCAACTCAGTCCAGAGTCAATCGTCTCCCAACATTCAAAACATCGTCACTCCACGTCGCAAAGACTCACTGAAGCATCGTCATCCCGGCCACCAACTCCCTCAGTCGAAGACACATCGATGTCTTGAGCTTGCTATGTGCCATCCAGGACCCACCAGCAGGCTTAATTGGAGACTGTATCCTCCTGGGAGTGTTGGTCAACACACCACATTGACATTCGACTCAGCAGCCACCAAAGCACTCCGGCACTTCCTCTCGCCCATCCCAACCCAGCTCTGGCTGTCACTTCATCGTCTCAATTCAAGGTGGACTCAGGGACTCAATGGCACAAGTTCTGACTCCCACAGAGCCAGGACTCTGTGGTGGAGATACAAGAGGGACTTCCTAACTTGCGGCACACTGTGCGCTCGCAAGTGGGGTATGGACCCAAGTGCAGCGTGAAGACGTGCAGAGAGTGGAGAGCAGGAAAGAACACTATGTCTTTCCAAGAAAAGTCTGGATGCACGAGCTATATTGTGCGCCCCGTTATGGTCACGGTCCCTGGCTCGGTTGCAGACGGTCCATGGTGATCACTGTTGGTCTGGCATTGATAGCAAGACTTGAATGTGAAGTATTCGTCAGCCGACACAAACCCCATTGAAGGCAAGCATTAGGTCCAAGAAATAAAACAATCGATGTTAGTTTGAGAATAACATAAAACGATTTGCTTACTGCACAAAAGGATATCTCGGTTGGAACTCACCTATAGCTGGCCACTAACCAGGTCCTTGGAGGCATCGCGACGAAGCGCCGGCACTGATGCCTTCGGAATCGATATCTGTTCCAGTAGAGTCACTGGTGCTTGTGGTTGGGGTCGCGATCTTGGGAATCTGGGTTCAAAAGGCGGCAGAGTCATTCTTTCTCTAGATTTCAACCTGTCGCGAGAGACTAGGTTAGAGCACCCAGCAATAGCTATGGCTACCGCCCAATTGTCGTCCCGACCACGGATCGTGTGGCCGCATCTGACAGCCTCGCGGTCGTTGATCACGCATTCTACAGCTTCATGCACCCGTATGGTCTTGATCCAGCCATTGATTGGGCGGCGCGCTCTTGCAAGCCGCAGTTGATGGTAGCAATAGATGCAGATCTGCGAAGTCCGCATCTCATTTGTCATTAAGACAGGGCACGCTTGTCGGTGCTGGTTGGTTATGCGTTCGCCTGTCGCGTCCTACACTAGGGTCAGAGCTGATCGGTAGACTCTTGGCATGATCGGTCGACTCTTGGCGTGACCGGTTACCCCTAAGAACGATGGTTCGGCCCCTGGAACCATTGATCAGCCCCTGGAACCATTGATCAGCCCCTGGAACCATTGATCGGCCCCGGAACCGATGTCTTCGCCCCTAGTTCAATACCCCTTTTATTTATTTATAGCCGCCTTTTACACACATACTATGTATATAGCTGTTGCGGTACGGGGTTTTTATTTCTATTTTACCCCGTCTTTTTATTTAACGAAGAAGTGCTGCTAGCGACCACGTCACCACATGACAGATGGTCGCTGCTCAACTATCACCTCCGTGATTACTTATAATAATTGTCATCTCCGTGATTACTTGCCACCTCCGTGATTAGCTATCACCACCGTGGTTAAATATCACTCCAGTGGTGTAAAATAATAAAACAACTCTTTTCTTCTCGTTGACAACAGACCCCATAGCGGCCCCTTCATGTGCAGAGGATATAAAAAGGCATATAAAAAATATCCAAAGCCCAAGGAACGGAGTGTTTACTTCCATAACTGACATATCTCTTCATAGTGGGCAACAGAACACAGAATAAAATAGCAATAGACAGCACAAGAATTTTTAAAATGTAATCTCTCCCCTGTATTTCGCCCCAAAGATACAGTTGAGAGTACAAGTGCTTTAGATGATGACATACAAGAACTACTCTGGCGAATCTTGCAGTGAGGGTTACAGGTTAATAGTAGATGGACATATTCAAGAGTGTGGTGTGCGAAAAATAAGAAGACTTTGTTGTTTGGAGAATAGGTTGGTGTTTAGTAGGATAGTTAAACAAAAAATGTTACAATGGTTGTCTTATATGCTTGGTATCATATATACATTCTCATCCCATAGTCGCTATGGATATTGTCGAGATCTACAGAGATGTAACAAACACCATATGATAACTTGGACCTGAAAGGCCTCCTATATCCTCTGCACATGAAGGGGCCGCTTAGTGCAGAGAACATCACCATGCCAGCCGACAGTGGACTCAGCTCGGATAAACTCAAACCTCGCTTCATCGGACCCTTTACATTGCTGGAGCAGCGATCACCAGTCACTTTTCTAGTCGACCTACCGCCCTCCTACAACATCCACAATGTCTTCCACGTCGACCTCTTCCGCCATCACATCGAGTCACCACTTGCATTTGGCCGCCGAACATTAGCACCACCACCACCAGTTGTCATCGAGGGCAATGAAGAATACGAGGTCGAGTCCATTTTGCGTTACAGGAAATACCAACGGCAACACCAGTTCCTTGTGTCATGGAAAGGGTACGGACGGGAGGACCAAACGTGGGAGCCCGTCGCCAACCTGGAGAACTGCCGCGACCTAGTTGACGCGTTCAAAAAGGACCAGGGGATCGTTTTTTAAAAGGGGAAGGTGCAACAGTTGAACCTCCGATCAGAGTAGCTTTAGATAAATAGACACACACTACCATAATACATCCACATCTCTTACTTCCACTCCTCCTAAAGTTGCAGGAAGTCAGCTTTTTGGGTTTTATCATTAGCACTAAGGGTATTTCCATGGATCCCAGCAAGGTCTCCGCCATTCAAGAATGGTCCACCCCCAAGTCTGCTTTTGATATTCAGGTCTTCCTTGGACTTGCTAACTTTTACCGCCGCTTTGTCAAAAACTACTCCAAGATTGCCACCCCTTTAACAGCCCTTCTTAAAGTTGCTGGCTCGCAAAAAGGAATGTTTCCTTCAAGGGATGCATCTCCTAATGTCATTCGTAAATTTAGGGACGTTGGAATTGTGGAAGTTGACAACATCTCTATTGCCTAGCCAAAGCGCCTTCATAACAAGGATAGTGCCCCACTTGCAGATATCTTCGAATATGATGAAGATACAGTAGACACAAATGTATTACATCTGAAAACTATTCATGTTTCGATGTATACTGCAGCCGACCAAATTTTAGAGCCTGATGAAGAGTATACCATTGTGGCGGCCGGTCTCAAAGAATTTCGTTCTGAACGTCGTTGGCATTTTATTACAACATGTGGCATAAAGGTGCGCGCAGGAAAATCGTTGGCAAAGATTTGGACACCATGGCGTGTGGAGCATCTTGAAGGTCTACAGAGAATTGGTAGTGTTCAAGGCGTGCCATGTATGACGTTTCGAGCTATTAAAGTGGTTACTTCACGTGGCAGACCTGATTTGAAGTGCGAGCGTATTTGAGAGGTTTTTAAAAACTTTGGAAAGACTTTTGTTAATTATAGACTGGTATTATCATCTTCGTGGTTTGACATTTCCTCGTCATCATCCTTATTTGACGTTTGTTCATCATCATCATCTGAAGCAACATCTATTCCTACAAATTTCTCTTGCATCCTTTGTAACTCAAGACCATTTTCCAGTTTGTTTTGTACTGTAACGGTTTGTGTTAACTCTGGGACAAGTTGCCTTTCTCGTGGATAATCTACTCCTTCTTCCATCCATGCACGATGATGTGGCAGCTCTTGGATATCCACTGCTTTGACAAAGTTGCGAACATTTAGTAAGAGAAGACAAAGGCGGAATGTAAGATTAAACTCCTTTTTGGATCCAACTCGAACAATCTCCTTATTATTAAACTTGGCGAATGTTTTCATGAGATCACCAAAGACAGCCTCTGACGTAGATCGAAATCCACCAAACATAGCATTAAAGTTGGATTCCTCTTCGTGGAGTTGCTGTAGTCGTTTCTTACGAATGGGAAAACAGAAGTTACGCTCGTCCAACTTTTCTTTTTCTATAACTAGAATGGTATCCGCGGCTTCGCTCGCGGAGGTGTGAGGCAAGTGTAAATTGACAAAAAAGTGGTGGTGGTTGAATATTGCAAAGTTTATTTGTGATTGTCAGTTCCTCATTTCTCTCTCGCTTTTCTATTTGATTTTTTTTTCTGCCTTCACTTTTTTTTTCGTTTTGCCCTCCCTTCCTTATTTTTTGACGTCATATTTCCACAACTCGTGACGGCGTGCCAGGCCTGACTGATCCAAGCCATGGCCACGGGAAGGAGGTGTGAGACGGGACCCCTGGGAGCCCGAATGCCTATAGTTACACAACTTGGGTCGTATGAATGCCATAAAGTGGCGAACACCGAGCCAGCCCCCCGCATCCCCAACGCGACCTGTCAGGTGTGATGAGTCGAGATCTCGGGTCAAAGATATTATACAGCAGTCTCCTTTCTTTCCTTTAAATGCAATACCATCTTACCATGTAAATGTTGTACAACCTTCTCGTCCGCCTCACTCAGACTTTGTTTGACAAATCGACTCATTGCCTTGGCGGGCCAAATCCTGTCCCTATCGGTTTCCCTCCCTTGCTCAAACCCGCCTTCTTCTCGAGCTGTTATTTCTTGGGTCTTCCCCTATTCGACCGTCGCCCTTGCAACGTACGTGCCATATCTCCATCCTTTCAAAGTCTTCTATCGCACTTGCAATACCTTTTTTCTTTTTGCTTCCCTCTGTCAATGCATGTCACGGTTCTTTGAGCTGGTACCAAGGACGTAAAGTCAATGGCATTGTTAAAGGTCCGGATGGTTGCAAGAAATAGCCCAGAGAAAAAGGTACCACCTCTGAAAGGCTTTGTAATTCACCAAGGGAAGCTTAATGACCGGCGTTTTGACTCTTAGACAGCAGAGAAGCGTAGATTGGCGATT